GAGTTTGGCGAATGTGTGAAGAATGTTACCTGCCAACAGTAAAGTTTGGTAGAGGAGGGATAATGGTCTGAGGCTGTTTTTCAGGGTTTGGGCCTCTTAGTTCCAGGGAAGGGTAAGGTTAATGCTACAGCACACAAAGACATTTTAGATAATTACATCGCTGTTGTTGGAAGAAAACCTCTTTTCTGCATTTTTGTTGTTTTTCAGTTTTTGACATAATTTGAAAATGCCTGTTGTCCTTTACATTCTGTGCAAATTTCATGAGGAATGGACCAAAAGAAACAGTCCAAAATAGCTTGGGAAAAAGTCTGGTTCCATTGACTTACATTAAAAGTAAAGTAGTTTTTTTCCTTTTCCTGTAAAGTTACCATGTTGGAGATACAAGGTTTTCTTCCGACAACAGCGACATGCGCCCAGCTTTGACGCAACAGTTTGGAGAAGGCCCATTCCTGTTCTAGCACGACTGTTCCCCTGTGCAAGCAAGGTCCACAAAGACACGGTTCGATGAGTTTGGTGTGGAGGAACTTCAGTGGCCTGCACAGAGCCCCACAGATACAGTCCAAAATCTTGTGGAAAGCCTTCTCAGAATAGTGGAAATGGTTAGAGCTGCAAATGTAGAGGTACAAGGTGCAGGGCAACTCCATAATAATGTCCACGGTTTTGGAACGGGAGCTCACACAAGTGTGATGGTAAGATGTCCACATACTTTTGGCCATGCGTTGTACGCTATAGGCCAGGGGAGTCCAAAGTCCGGCCCCAGGGCCAAAGATTTTAAGTGGCCCCTGGCTTTTGTTTTAGAGTGTGTTATAAGTGGCCTGCCAGTCAATATGTTGCAGTTTTTTCTTTCACCTGAAGGTGGCACTTAGTTTAGTCAGGTCTACAGCCATAGAGCACAAACTTGACATTGAGAACTGGAGATTTTGGCAAGATGAAAATTTGAACACTTTTTCATTAAGAGCCTCAGCAAATGCATTTGTCTTTTCAAAAGACTGTATTGAATTCAATGTCAGTAGACTTGAATAAAAGCATGGACGTTACAATAAATATTCAGGAAAGAGCAGAGGGCAGAGAAACTACTACAAGCTCCCCGAGTCTCACAGCCCCAACTTCTTATCAGCAAATTCAGTAGTTCAGTAAATATTAACCCTTTAAGGTTGAAAAAAACATGGCAATTTATGCATTTTAGTCTCATTTAATAAAGTGATTTCTGAAAGCTGACACTGCATTTATTTGATATGTAAAGAACATGAAAATGTATTGCTTTTTTTTGGTTCGTCTTCAAAATTATATTTTTTGATCAAGCAAAGGCTTGAATAGAAATATATTTAATAGATTAGCCGCATTTTATTGTTGCTCTGAATAAACAAATCAATCATTTCTGAGTGAGCAATACAACTATAAAGGAAGCCTTGTGCATCTTTCATACCGTGATAGGAAACACAGTAGATCACAGAAAGCTCTGATTCTAAGCACTGATGCATTTTGCTTTGAACAGTGTGAAAACACATGCGCCGTTACTTCTTTGGTGGCATATTTATATGCATTTAAGGGGTTATCTTCAAATTCTCAGAATAGATCGCCAGCACAACGCTTGGTTGGATTAATTGCTTTACATGGCTATATCTAACTCAATATCTATTCATTTGTGAATAATATTTTGCCATTTCGACATGGTCCGATCTGGCCCTATTTGAAAAAAGTCTGGACACCCCTGATATAGGCAAGTAAGATGCTCAAACAGATTTGTTCGGCGTGCCTTTATCAGGAAATCTGTCATTCTTTCAGACTGTAATGCACTACAGGAAGTGTTGGGGCAACATTGCTTTTATTATTTGGTTGCATTTTGAAAAAAATATTCTTGACAGAACTCAATGCAAAAGGAGAAGAACCAATGAAGCAGTCGGTCACAATCATGACACTTTAGGTCACTTTTTTTAACTGCAATTAACAACTGAATGGTGCTTTTTTGTCACTGTATGCAACACTGAGCTCAAGCTCAACTGTTTATCTGCATACATGATTTAACAGACGCTCAACTGGCATCTGATAGGTCATGTGCACAGAATAGGGTTCTCTTCAAAGTGGTTTCAACCGGCCTACAGTGTTGCATAAATGATAGACCACAGATGCAGTGGCTGCACTGTGTGTTGCCGAAGAAGCAGACATTTGTCTTTACACTGCCTGGCTGATGTTTATCGTGCAATAGTGGAGATCTAGATAGCATCTAACAACAGGGAGGAAATTAGGGTAAAAAACAACAACAACCTTACAACCTTACGTAAAGTGGAGACAGGGCACTGGAAACGAAAAGACGGTGTTTGTCTGGAACCTTTTTATGCTCAGCGCTGCTGAGGGACAAAAAAATGGCAGAATTGGTCCCAAATCATGTTCAATTATGGCTACTTCTCGAACTGCAGTGAGATAAGCAGTCTCTTGAGAATAGCACAAACAAGAACGCAACAGGGCTGCCATTTACAATGTGCATTGGGCTGCAGTTTGATCAGAAGAAACATATATTGGACTCTGCATTAAAATTAGCCAGCACAATATGCTGCAGTGATGAACAATTAAACAACAGCTACACACTAACATAGTGGTACACACCGTTACACTCTCAGAAATAAATGTACTAAACTATCACTGGGGCAGTTCCCCTCTGTTCACGGGGGTGGGACCCTCAATGGTTAATCTCAGGGAACATAACTGAACCATAATCCACTGAAATTATATTTTCTAAGCTGTACTGACTCCACACTCCCCGTCTCATCTCCAGGCTTTTATTTTATTGTTCTGTTACAAACTTTTCACCTGGAAAACTTATTTAAAGTTCACAATTGGACTTTAAAGCCACTGTTGTACCTTTGAGGGAACACTTACACTGTTTGTACCTGAACAGAACCTTTATTTCTAACAGTGTATAGTGCTACACAACACTGTTCCAAAGTTTGGAATCACCATTAAAAAATTTGGAAGTTTTTAATAATATTCAATTACTGTTAAAAATACATGTATAAAATCATTGTAATATGTTGATACTTCAGGACGAAGCTGTAAAAAAAATTGAGGCTATACATTTTTTTTTTTTACATGTGTCCAGAATTACATGTAATATCAAGTATTAAGTTATAACAAAATTAACATCCAGAATTCCTTGTATTTGAAAACTGGTGATGAAATCTCAAACCCTAATGGTTGATAGTTGCTCATTATGCCAACAGACTGAAGATCCTCAATTGATATCTGCAGCAGCTTTCTCCGGTAGCCCTGTTCACACCACACTTTATCTCATGTTTCGTGAGGGAACCCGTTATCTGCGTACAGGACTGCTGCATGGCTTTATCAGTTTAAGAAGTATTAAAACATGTACAGTGCACCGCTACAGAATGTTCTGAAGCGTGACAACATATATTGAATAGAATATATAGAATATCCAGTGCACCAACTAACGCTACACAATAAAATAAAACTTATTAAAAGAAAACAGATTGAGAGATAAACAATTACTTTTGTGCATCTTTTGTGAGGATGATGTGTATAAGACACTGTCCAATTTCAACAATTGTGACAGACAGAAAACATGACAAATCGGCTCAAGCCTGCTAAAAACAAATAATTACAGTGTACTATTTATATCTTTAATCAAATCTTAGTGTTCCCACAGAACTCAAAAGTACCGAATAATGAATCATGCGGCTCTTTTACTGTCCTGTTGCTCCACGGCAGAATCAGATTTGTAGGTAAAAATAAAATAATCCTCCTTTACAGTAAAATAAAGCTCTGCTGATCGTTCAACACAGTTTAACAATAAATGGTCTTAAACTCTGGAGTTAATGTAGAACTGCTAATTCACCCTTTAGGTACGCAGACTTCTGGTCACCATAGCAACGACAACAACCTCACCTAGCTAGTAGCTAACGAAATGGCAAAGATAAAGATTTAAGATGAACATCAATAATTTGGAGACGAATAAACTTATTTGCATTTATAATCACTCCAGCTGGTTTCCCGAGAAGCTGTCAAACACTAAAAAGTCGCAAAGCTGAGGTCAGTTTCTCTTTTAAATTCTCCCGTTCCACCTTAAATGGTGCAACAGTTACATTCTGGCGCCTCCGGCACTATTTAAAGTGGAGTGAGAAGCGACTTCAGCCTTGTAAAAATCGAATGTTGAGAGACATTTTACAATAAACTGTTTAACTTCTGAGGAAAAGTTTCCTGCAGGAGATGGGAGAAAAGCGTCTGCGTTTTAGTTTATGTTATATTTTTAGCCTGTACTAGTACATCAGCACATACTGAGACAGTCAAGATGGTGAAACGGACATAAAATGTTGTGGCTCCCAAGGTGGTTTGATTTTGTTGAAAGGACAAAACGGCTTTTTTAACATTTACGGTTGCCGACCCCTAGCCTGGCTAGTAGCTAAGGCAAAGAAGAGTAAGATTCAAGACGAATATTGATAATCTAGAGACCAGTGGGTAGAATTATTACATTTACATGCACTCCAGCTGTCCTGATGCATTTAAACTGAATCTAGAAACTGTCAAACACTAAAAAGTTGAAATAAATTAAATCGTCCCATTTCAACAAAAGTGACAGACAGAAAATATCTGCGAATTGACTCAAGCCTACTATAAACAAATAATTAGTGTACTATTTATTATTTAACCAACTTAGTGCTTCCACAGAAAAAGTACTGAATAAAAATACCTTCTAATGTCTGTTTTGTAGTTTTCCAATCTACACTGTAGAAGATTTTATGGAAAAAAAATAATGGCAAATAGTGATAACAGACTTCTGAAATGTCAATAAAGGGTTCATCACCATTTTGAACAAACTCTCAGCAATGAAAGAACAGGGTAACAGTAGCTGATGCATAAAAGTGCCTGTGTAAGCTCGAAAAACTGTCCAAGTTATCTTAAGAAGCATTTAAAAGTTTTTCATCAATCCTCTTTACAGAATTCTCAACTGAACGTCTTATTGTGTTGCACACTGTAAGTGTTCTTACCTCATTCAGCACAATTATCTCATCTGCATCCACAACGGTGGACAGTCGGTGGGCAATGAAGACGGACGTCCTGTCTTTCACCATTTCTTTCATGGAACAGAGAATGTTCTAGAAAGCAATGAGATAAGGCACAATAATGTAATTCCCTGATTCATGCCAAGTTTGAAGAACAAATTTAGAAACATTAAAATTAATCCTCCCTCCACCCCCTCGGCGCTGTCTCAATGAGAGCTTGTCTGGCTTATAAAAGGGATGTTTCTCTGTTCCTTTGTAATAACTAGCACTGATATGATTGACAGGATTTATATGAGGGCTTCTTTTTGACATGATACAGGTATAGGGAAATAAATAAATAAATAAAAAGTGAAAGGCTTCAAAGCAAATATCTCCAGTGTGTGTAATAACCTATAAAGCCTCATCCTCATAAAAATAATTGAGCTTCTGCCTTGAGTGTAAATATCCATATGAAAAAGTCCACAATGACAGCAAAAAACCAAACCAGCTATATTCAGAGCAAAGTAACTGCTCTATCTACACTCTGAGTTAAGTGTAACTTTAATCGCTAAATACCTGAATATTACAAGGAGAAACTACTGCGGAATGCTTTGTATATGATTTATGGTGCAGAAAAAACATTAGATCTACCACCCCATTTCCAAAAAAGTTGGGACGCTGTGCAGAATGTAAATAAAAATAGAATGCAATGATATGCAAATCATGTAAACTATATTTTTAAAGGAAAATACTACAATGACAACATATCAAATGTTATAACTGAGAAATTGTATTGTTTTTGAAAAATATATGTCCGTCTTGAATTTGATGGCAGCTACACATTCCAAAAAAGTTGGGACGGGGGGCAGTTTACCACTGTGTTTCATCACCTCTTCTTTTAACAACACTCTGTAAGAGTTTGGGAACTGAGGAGATGCTGCTGTAGTTTAGAAAGTGAAATGTTTTCCTGTTCTTATTTGATACAGGATTTCAGCTGCTCAACAGTTCAGGGTCTCATTTCTTGTATTTTTCATTTCATAATGTGCCAAATTTTATCAGTGGTGACAGATCTGGACTGCAGGCAGTTTTTTTTTTTTAGAAATACGGAGCAATGCTGTTATAATACATGCAGAATGTGGTTTGACATTGTCTTGCTGAAATAATGAAGGACTTCCCTGAAAAAGACGTCGTCTGGATGGCAGCATATGTTGCCAAAACATGTATATATCATTCAGCATTAATGGTGCCTTCACAGATGTGCACGTCACTATACCATGTGCACTAATGCCCCCCTATACCATCATGAATACTGGCTTTTGAACTGTGCGCTGATAACAAGCTGAGTGGTCTTTAGCCAAGAGGATGCAGCGTCCATGATTTCCAAAAAGAATTTCAAATGTTGATTCGTCGGACCACAGGACACTTTTCCACTTCACCTCAGTCCATTTCAAATGAGCTCGGGCCCAGAGAAGGTGGCAGAGTTTCTGGATCCTGTTTATATATGGTATCTTTTTTACGTTTTAGAGTTTTAACTTGCATTTGTGGATGCAGCGATGAACTGTTTTCACAAACATTGGTTTTCAGAAGTCCATGCAGTGATTTCCACTACAGAATCATGTCTGTTTAAATGCAGGGCCCAAAAATCACAGCCAACAAATACAGTTTTTTGGCCTTGTCCATTACATACAGAGATTTTTCCAGATTCTCTAAATCTTTAATGTTATTATGTACCGTAGATGATAAGCAGCAAAAGTTCTTTGCTGTTTTTCGTTGAGAAACGTTACTCTTAAATTGTTGCACTATTTAAGACAAGCTCCTTACCTCTTCAGTAATTGAGTCCAGAGAAGAAGTGGCTTCATCATACAGCAGGATAGGAGGGTTCTTCAGGATCGCCCTGGCAATGGCAACACGCTGTTTTTCTCCACCTGTCATGAGCCAAAAACTTCACTGAGTTAAGCAATGACTGACCTCAGTCATTATGTAAATTAAGTATTAATAAATAAATAAACAAATAAATAAAGTGAATAATTGGAACTTAAAGTAGTTTTCACATACTTGCGTCTATAACATTTGCTTACAATCTAGAATGTTGGCATACAGCTGTATAAGTTTGGGCACTCCTCTGCAAATGATATATTTTGTTGATTTTGAAAGAGAAAAAAACTGCAGCACAACTACAGATAACCCCTGTGTGGTGTTCAGGTCTGTGGGACCCATTTTCAATGTTTACCAAAAGAAAAATGCGATTTATAATTATTTCAACCCCCAGATTCTTTGCCTTTGCTCATTTTCTGTGAAGAACATATAAAATGCACATTTTCAGTGCCTTCACACTCTTCACCCCCTACACATTTATACTATATTACACATGTGGTGTTAATATGTTTAAAAAATAATAATAAACTTTTCTGAAAATATTACTTTATATTTAATTAACTTTGGACACTCTGCTAAGTCAGTACTATTGATTAATAAGTCAGTAATAAGAATTCTACTCTTGTTTTAGGAATTTCATCCACTCTTCCGTGCAGAATGGGTCTGGTTCTGTAATATTCTTGAGCCATTGTGAATGCACAGCATTTTTAAGATATACCCACAGATTTTCAATGATGTTCAAGTCAGAGAACTGTGTTACACCAGACTTCAGGTAGTTTCTGTCCTCACACCATTACACTCATTAATAGTTGCTGCATTTTTGTTTATGTTGTGTTACTTGTAAGAAACATGTTCATTTTCTTCAGTTTAAGCAGGTAGAGCATACTGGATACTGGAAAAAAGGTTCTGTAAGACAGCGACTGAGGATCTATCAGTGCATAGAACCGCATGTGGTCTGTACTTACATCTCCTTTTTGTCTGGGAACAATGAAAATGCTCTCAGATGGTGTGCCAGTAAAACCGAAAAATTTATTTAAAGCAACCTGACCAACCCCACAATTCTATTGTTAAACGGCTATTGTCATTATTGTCAATAAACTGGCAAAGGGGTGCTACTGTATAACCAAAGACAAATTTCTTGTATGTGCAAACAAATGAGTGCTATTTCAGGTTAGATTTGTTCCATGATTGGATCAGATTCATTTGAATTTCTCCAACACTGTATTCAGCATTTTTTGATGTCATGCCCATAACCATTGACACCAACATGCCATCTCTTATGTGAACTACTGGTATGCAGGAAAATCATCTAATATGACTCTGTACCCAGCCTCCACAGTCCTTTACGCCATTTTTGACATCACGCCAGTGATCGTAATACATACTGGTTTGATCGTGAATATCTTTAAGCAATACATCATTAAAAAATAACACAGAACAAAATCAACTGGTTTATATTAACATTATTGACACTGGCCCACTGCTAGCCATGTCAGCAATTTTGGCGAAGTGTTCCCTAAACAAACAACCAGTGAACTGATGCATTTTCACTATACCTGAAAGCTTCAGGCCTCGCTCTCCAACCTGTGTCTCATATCCATGAGGCATTTTGAGGACAGCGTCGTGGATGCCAGCAAGCTTAGCCACTCTGTACACGTCCTCCGGCGTAGCGTTGATGTTGCCGTACTGCAGATTGTAGAAGATGGTGTTGTGGAAGAGGACTGCATCCTATAGCCAGAGACAAACAAGATAAAAGCTTTGAATACTGAGACTTGTTGAACTACATTTTATTGATCATAATATCAAGCTTATGTTGCATGGCTTGAGTATATGTTTACAGAATGCAAATGTAGAGAAAGTAAAGTAGAGAAATACTAAAACACTGCAGCAGTAGGATAGTGAATTCCCTGGGACAGCTATACTTTTACAACGAGGTCATTTGTTAATATCTGAGTCAGTCCTGGTCCTCGAAGAGCCTTTAACTGCACAGCTCAGTGACTCATTAGACAAATAATAAGGCCTTCATTAGTTTCTAAAAAAGGGAACCACTAAAAAGTGCATTGTAGAACTATTCCAGGAACAGGACTGGGAAAACCTTAGATTGATTTCATTTTACAGAGCAGTACTTACCTGAGGCACCACCCCTAAAGCCTTCCTCAGACTTTCCAGACTAACATCTCGAATGTTCTGGTTTGCGATATAGATGTTTCCTTGCTGGGGTTCATAGAACCTAAAGAGCAACCTGACGATTGTGCTTTTTCTACAATAAAAAAAGAACATTTATCAATACCTACCAGACAAATACCACACAACAGCATTTCCCACAAACTGGCGGTAAAGTGGCGCAGCACTGCTTTCCACTGTGCACTTACCCAGACCCGCTGCCTCCGACAATTGCTACCTTCTTCCCAGCAGGCACTTCGAAGGAAACCCCGTTGAGGACCTTTTGTCCCTCCAAGTACTCAAAGTAGACATCCTCAAACCTGATGGTGGCCTCCTGAGGGGTAACCAGCAACGGAGGAGCCAGCTCTTTCTCCTTCAACACACAGAACACGAGGAAGAGGTTTATTTTGGCTGGTGGAAAAAATCATATTGATTTTTTGAAGCATGAGGAAAAAGGGACAGTCTGGCATTTGTAGACCGTGGCCTGCTGTTTCAGTTACTCGGAAATCGGTCAAGTGAGCTTGGAGTTTTGGAGTCAATGCTTGTCAGGCATGTGCTTGATAATTCTATTTTACTGTGAACAGATCAGCACGAACTCCCTATTTTAGGGAAAACTGGAATTTATGGTAATAAAAGTGTGAATCACTCAGAATACAACACAACACACCTACAGTTTAATTTAAAACCCACACCTGTATTAAAAATGCTAAAATAATTTTTAATCATAACTTGTCAAAATATAGCTGTAGTGTAATTTTGAAAGATGTTAAAGAAGAAGTTTTCCATTAAATTAATCCACTTTCCACAATTCAACACTCCAGTTATTTTCCAACGTAATCTCCTTCTGCTGAATCTATATCATATACCTGATTAGCTCGGACAATAAGCAAGCACAATCATAATCGGCTAGAATCAGATTCGGCCAATTTTTGCTCCATTTAGATGTTTTAGCTGATGCGTTTTACGGTTTTATGATATACTTAATGTAAACCAGCTAAACACACTAATGTTGCTTTTTTTGAAAGAATATTTTTCATATTTTTACACAGATTTTATTCAGCTATCCTAGTGAGAAACTATTTTAGATTATATTGCATCAATCATTAAAGGAGCTACTTTTCCATAGCAGCCCGGGGCCTTTTCTGCCCGTGGTCACAGTTTTGCCTCTACAACCTGCTCTAACACGCACATACAGAAACCATGGATATTTCTAGTAAGTTCATGACTGTTTTGTCACATAAAATTTATTTAATAGCAGTATTGCATGCAGAAATATTCATTTTGTAAAGAACCCTTTTTTTTCCTCTAGCATAATGCTAATTTTCATTAGCACCAAGCTAATATTACTTGTGGTTCTGTAAATATTTCAACATAAAGCCTATAATAGTCCAAACCCGAGGAGCCTGTTAGTAGTCAAGCATGTTGTTAAATGAAATCACGTTCATTTGTACAATGCATTTACTACATATATAATAATATGCAAACGTTTTAACACCCTGGTCAAATTATGTTTTGCAGATTAGTGAAAACAATGCATCTTCTACAGAGATCAAACATCAATATAACATTTTTCTGCACATTTTATTGTACAATTTCTAGTTACTTGCTTAAATATATTCAAAGAGTGACTGTGCATTAGCATGTGCAGAAGTGTCTCTTTAGAGGATGTATTTTCTTATTTTCACTTAAAAAAAAAAAATCAACAAAACATGTCATTTGATCGGGGATGACACAACCTTCAGATATGACTGTACATGTGATTTGTGACTGCAGGCCTGTGTGCATTTCTGCATCCTCTACTGTTCTACTCTCTACATTCGGTCAAAAACTGCCCCCCCCCCGTAGAAAGGTGATGGGACATGTGTTTGTAAAGGCAACAGGAATCACGTTTGTGTAAAGTGCATGTAGATCTGAGCATCTGTTAGGACTGAACAGTCCACAAACTGTTGAGTAAAAAAGTGAATTGAAAATGTTATTGGAAAAAAGGACAATTAATAACAACCTGCCAAATTAGTGATGTGATCATTTCAAAGCTTTTTAAATGAACTAAGAGCAAAAATGACTGAAAATGCATGTATAAAAGAACCAACTCTGCCTTTTATGCTGTAGACTGGGGTTCAATCCCCGCCTGGGCAGCACCCTACACTATACCAATAAGAGTCCTTGGGCAAGACTCCTAACACTACCTTCACCTTCCTGTGTAAAATGATCAAAATGTAAGTCGCTCTGGATAAGAGCATCTGTCAAATGCCATAAATGTAAGTTAAGTGGGTTTCTGTTTTTTCATGAAGTGTAGGAAAACACACACATACAAAAAATACATATCGTCTGTGGTTATCGACTGTGTAACCCTACATTCACACCGGCAGCGACTTTTCGCCTCGTTGCCCAAATCGCTGATCACTCATCACCTGTGGGTGTTTCTGAACTCGACCAGACTGTTGGTTACTATGGTTTCACTGACGCCAAACACAAATCCGAATTCAAATTAAAAATCGTAGTGAGAAATCACTTAAGTGCTTATTGTTATTTAATCCCTGTCTGTGCAGTCAGTTCGTTTCCAGCTGTAGTAGGAACAATTATCTAGAAACCAAAAAAGGAGTGTACTGTTTCACAGTGGCAGAGATAAAGCACATACTACGCTGCTCAATGCTCAATTCCTACTGGTCATCGCCACACCGCTTCACTCCTTATTTGCTTAAAGTTAACTTTGTTGCATCGCAGACTCGCATTACCTATTCTCGCGCCGCCTCCTGTCGCCGGAACTCGCCAGCTTTCATTGAAAATGAATGAACTCTGGCTGCTTTGTTGCATCGCGTCGCCACTAGTGTGAATGCAGGGTATCTGGTTGAAAAAGGCCGATGTATTTATTCCTTTAAACCATCTGCATCACCTTTGTAAAACAGCATGTAACTGTCAAGACCAGCAATTGGTCTCATGCATATTACAACTCTAAAAAAGTCTGGAAACTAAAGTCAAGCAGCCCAACGCTTTTGGTACAACAGAAGTACTCAGCAAGTTTACACTAATTCTACATACAGCCACATTATTTTAGAAATCAAATTAGAGTCCCCAGTAATGGCTTGATGGGCTGTTCAGTCATGCAGAGAGCCATGGTGAAAACCATTACTGATCACTGGGAACAATTGGACAGATTTTATTCACAGTAATTACAGGCTGCATACAGAATTAGCCAAATGAAGAATGAGCTTCATCAACCTCAAATGCATTTCAACCCCCCTCTTCCCTCACCTCTAAATCTCCCTACCACCCCCACCCCCACCACTGATGGCATGAAAAAAGGCAGGGAAAAAAATAAATAAATAAAAAGCAAAAAAAAGGTTGCAGGGATTAAAATAAATACTAAAGCAAATGTTATGCAAATTCATAATGTTCAAATCCATAGAGAGAATAGGAGTTAAGGATGTGACTGTGTTCCAAAAAGCACTGACATTTCAGGAGAGGTATGCATTGTGGAGAGAGAACAATAAGTCCTGATGAGCCTGGGACTGCAGTTATGAACACGCAGAACAATTCAAAATCATCATCGGCGGCGAATTATTGTCAGGTTAAAATAACTGCTCTTGTGCAGCCCACTGACTCCATCAAGACGGTCGCACTAATAAATCAGACGAGGAGCTGCGACGAACCAACTTTAGCTGCGCAAAACAAACATGCTGATTTGGTCACGAAAGCCTCTTGGCACTGTGAATGTGGCTCAAGACTGTATGATCTCTGAATGATGAGGCTCTGCAGGGGTGTAAAAGTTGATCTGAAGGCGCTGATTCAACACTGATTTTGGAATGTAAGGACAGATCGTTAGCTTTTAATCACCTAGGTTGACACAAAGGGTCTTACAAAGGCAAGTTTTGACATGTTTTGACTTCTGGCTTAGTGCTTAATGCTTAATGGGGAATTCCACTAATTTTTCAAAGACGTCGGTATAATTCAGTCGTTAAGATGTAAACAAAGCCATTCAGAGTGGTTGGAAATGCTTCATTGTAGAAAAGCGTAGCAACTTTATTTACAATGGAAGCGATGGGAACCAGGAGCTGTGATGTCTACAATGCAAATGCAGCAATTTTATTACTATCTAAAAATAATCAGTGAACTTACAGATGTCTGAGTTTTTACATTTAATATCGATGATGTTAAAATAGTACTAAATCTTCTTTGGGTACTATCATGACCCCTGGTTCCTATTAGTTGGTATGTTTCTCTTCAATGGGCCATTTCACGTCAAACAACGCTTAATGACTGAAATATTGAAAAACAGGCTGAATTCCTCTCTAATTACAGACTCATGCTATAACTAGGGCTGTAGTCAAGGCCACGGCCCAATCCCATTTTATCACTTAGCCCTTAGCCCTCCTTTTTGCATGTTCAAGCCAAGGGGTAGGGTCTCCCGATTGTCAGTGCTTCTCATACATACATTACTGTACCAACCAAATACTGTATATTGCTGTTCTGGTTGCCTCAGTGACTACTATGCTCATATATGCTAGGCTGCTAATATGTCATAGTATGTTACAAATATTTACATATTAGTATTTATTTATTGTACTGTATTGTCTGAACTGTGTTTATTGTATTGTCTCGCACTTGTGTTCATGTGTTGTTCGTTTCACTACTTGTACAGAGCTGAATTGACAAAGCCTGACTTGACTTGACATAGGTTATACTTTAGCATTGTGTCCATGTATATTTCAACCCATTTAAAAATGTTTAGCACTTTTTTTCTCAGTACGTTTCGAAAAACAACGCACTTTGACTCCAACTTGGCTGAAACATGAACACAGCTCGGGTCAAGGGAAAGCGAGGCAGAGGAGGCCGTGAGAGATTGAGCAGAAAAAATAAACAAGGAGAAGGAAAGAGCCAGGTCAGATACTCTTCCCTGCTAATTGCTGGACTTAACTGACTCCATTAGCTTGGTTATGAGCACAGTGATCATAGTTTTGTACAGAACCAACTAGACTAAAGTTTCTCCTGTTAGTCCTAAAACACTGCCAAAGCACATGAACATGTATGTTTTCATGCTTCTAAATAAGACTCTGATAGGCAGTGCAAACTCGCCGAGCCAAGAACCTTAGAAATGTATCTAAATCAGCATTCTTTAGTGTGCACAGCATTTAATTGTATTTTATTTAAGCTAAAGCCAAGTGTTTGTGTTTAAGGGCAAAATTGACGTAGGAAACAAGTTGAAAGGGAATCATTTGGCTACCAATGGGCCATAATTTCCCCTACGAATAGGCAGTTCTCTAGGAAACCAAGGGACATCCGATGTGCAGATAAACGGAACAATATTTTTAAATGAAAAAAATAAAATGAGGTGTTATTCATATTTGGCTGTAACAGACATACCCACATAAATGACCCCCAGCCCTCTGGCTACACCTCAGCACCACTGCATTTTTCATATCTGTGGAAAACACTGAATATGGAGGTGATGCTGGGCTGCTGTGCTGAAATGTCTGCATTTTCTTCATTTTACTGCATTTATAACTGTATACAAATAAGCGTTACACTTCTCTGTTCTATTAATCCAGGTGGATTTAATCTTAATTAGTGCAGTTTAAAAATGTGTATTGCCATCAGCAGATATATAAATGAAAGATATCAATTACTGGCAGCAGCCCACAATTCCCATATCAGTGCATCCCTACTAAGCGTGACATGCACACCTCTAAAATTCAACCACACTGAGCTGGGTGTCAAATGAATCCTGACTGGCTGTCCAGTAGCATTGCTGGCAAGAGGAGACTAACAATACGCAACAGAACAGTAACAATATGCGAATCAGAACTAGCATAAAATCAAAATGGAGCAGCTCACGAATTGGCTAGCAGAAAAGCTGTGATGTCACAAACATTTATATGACCCATCTTAGAAACTTTACAAAAACAGTGAAGTAAATATTCATTCTTGGAGAGAGAATAAAAAAAAACAAAAAACAGGACAATTATCACTTCACTTTCTGTGCACTCTGGTTTAGAAAAAAAAATAAAAAAAAATATATATATAAAAAAATATATATGTTTAATTGCTAGTTGTAAGTATTTATATGGTAATAATTCGTTATTGATTTTGTTTTTTTAGGGCCCATATGTTAGTTTTCTTGTACTTTATTTTTTTCCTGAAAGGTCCATTTTATAATGTGTGTGGTTTTAATTTTTAAATCACTATTTTCCCAAACTCTCTTTATCTTTTAGAATTGAACAGGCAGTTTTTGTTACAGTCTCTCTAAGACCAATATTGGATAACTGAGCTTTGTTCTGATTGGCTGTTCTGTACTGTGCCTTATCCACAGAGCACTCAGACCTGAAACACTCTTTCTAGCTTCAATATGAACAGGCCTACTGCTGTAGGCTCAATAGCTGGATATATATAAATGTATTTGTTCTTGTGCCAACAAAGAAACGAATTCAAAACAGGCCTTTATTGCAGCTTAGTTTCCATAAAAAACTGTTTGGACTGAGTGGTAAATGGTATGTTTTGAAACTTTAACAATGTTAAAACAGGTTTTCCGTTAAATTGGCCCTTATAAATGATAGATAATTTAGATTTGTAACAAAACCAGCCAAATCAAACTGTGGTGAAACAACAATCTTTGAATCTTACAGTGCACAGAATTTCTAAAGACATCAGCACAGGTTTACTAAAAGACAGTCAAGGTGAGTCTACCTTGATCTTGGTGTCCACGCTGAGCAAGGTGAAGAGTGTGTCCATGTCGATGAGGGCCTGTCTGGTCTCTCTGTACACTGTACCCAGGAAGTTCAGTGGCAATGAGAGCTGGAAGAGGAGCCCATTGACCATCACTAAATCGCCCACAGTCATTGTTCCTATGAAAGACCAAACATCAAAATCAAAATATTCTGTGATTTAGCAAAAATGTAATCAGTCTATGTATATGAGAAAGAGTAGCATTGTGTGATCCTGATTTTCACCTGCCATTATGCTCTTGCTAGCCAGCACCATAATAGCTGTGAGGCCGACACTGAAGATCGCACTCTGTCCAAAGTTCAGCATGGCCAGGGTAGAGGTGGTCTTCAGTGAGGAGGACTCATAAACCTTCAGAAAGCCGTCATATCTCTCTGCTTCATATTTCTCATTGTTGAAGTACTGAACAGAGGGAGAGAGAGAAAGGAGAGAGAGGGCAGTCTCAACAAAAACGAACACAAAAGGACATTTAGTGGAAGGAGATAAGACGGCTGGAGGGCTAAATCCATCTGAAAATCAGAGAAAGAGCTGCCTGAGGACATGCAAAGGAGTGAAACTCTCAATAATCTCTCATTGGCCCTCATTCATTGAAGTTATGTATGGTCAAAACTGATAGAAAAATGAGCGCAGTTACCATTTAATTATAATTACACGGTGCTTTTGTTTTATTCTTCTAACACTGACCAAATAAACAATACAGGACACAGCTACTGCAGAATCATCTCATATGATGCAATAATACAGCGTTTAGGTATTATTTAAGAAAAAGTCACATTACACAATCACACCATTCTACCTAGTCTTTAAAAAAAAAAGTTTATTTCCCATTGTATTGTTTTCAGTCATTGTAATTTTACATTATAAAGGTCAGTAGGGGGAGCAGTGCACTCATACAGCCACTGGCTTAAGAGCTGCTGAATACTGTTGTTTTATTGAAGAAGTGCTGTTGGGTTGGCGCTTGATTTCACGCACCGAAGCAGAATCATTCGCACTGAATTCTCTCTTTCCATGTCATATGGAAGTTTCACGCATCAGAGGCTAAGGTAGTTCCTATGTCATTAAAGGTGGTCAAATCTGCACCCTTTTCTGTGCAACTTTGATGAACAAGTGCTAATGTTTATTACCATACTTTCAGGCTATCAGGAAATTCCAGTTTGAATCCCTATACTGGTCTCTGAGCAGAACCAGAGCACCTTTATCATCTTCACAGAATGATATCTTAAAACTTTTTGAGTAAACTGGAGCTTCAGGAAGCAATACAGGCTTGTGCTGATCTGTTTCAAACATGCATACAGACACCCTGGAGATGAGGGCTGAACAACTGTCTAACCAATATCGTGATTTATGAATATTTTCTTTAAATTAAGCTCCCGGCTTCATCAAAATGACCAGGAAATACATTTTTGAGACTTGAGGCTGACTGAATATAATGTGCCAGACTGCCATTTCATGAACTCTGCATTATTAGGTTAAATTTCTCCACACTAAGGCAACTGTAAATAACGGAGCATATAATTAAAATCGCAGCTCTTGAAGAAAGAAATAAAATAAAAAAATAAATAATTGATCATTAAGCCCAACTGAAGGTTCAGCTTTTTTTGAACAGACATTTTGTCAAAGGCTTAAAGAGGGCATTCCGTTGCATCAGTACGCACAAAATATCAGAGATCCAGAATGCAGCACATAGGCACAAACAAAAACAAGAAATGAACAAATAAATAAAAAACAACGACTTCCTCCGCTCTACCATTCAGAAATAGAACCGCGTCACGGATAAATTAATTAGTTTCGAAACGTGGTGAACAGAGGTGAGGCGATAAACACAGCTTGTTAAACACGTCCATTTTTATCTGTAGAACTGCCGGAGACGGGCCAGGATCACAAAAGCAGCATGTGCAAATGAGAGAAGGGGACCTGCCGAAATTGGTCCGTATTGGCCTCTTTACATAAAACCGATAGCATTTTGCGACCCCTCTTTGCCGCATGCCGAGAGAACTGCTCGGGCTCATTAGCGCATTACGCGCGTGCACGGCAGCCTCCGTCGCGACGTGATCAAACAGACAAGTCTCCTGGACTGTAATGACAATCTGAATATTTCATTAGAGAGCGTCAAACTTAGCAAGAGCGTCCTGTGCCAATTATCTACAAGAGCAAAAGGTATCAAGGAGCATGTTGCAGGCAGAGGAGCTTTATAAACAATTTCTCTGCTGTCAGTAAAGTGGGTTTAGCAGGCTGGGGAAGACGAGTGCGGTGAGGAAAAGAGAAAGGGAGCAAGAGAAAAAGAGAGAGAGAGAGAGAGAGAGAGAGAGAGAGAGAGAGAGAGAGAGAGAGAGAGAGAGAGAGAGTTCGTGTTATGCAGGAGCTTTTGTGAGAGTGGAACGGATTTTGAGTGGGTGGAGATCTAATTATGTATGCACACTGGCTTACAGTGATACTAAATCCAGCTGCATTGACATCAATGACACAAAATAAAGCCCTACACAAAATATATCTGTGCTTAACAACAAGGACATAAAAGGAGGAGAGGGGTATAAAAAAATGAGAGCAAAGAGCAAGAACGAGTTAAGAGCTGAAACCGAGGTTGAAAAAGTCCATCGAAACCATCATTAGGCAAACAGAGGGCAAAGGGTTTCAACTAGCTGTGGGTCAAAGGGCTGGAAGAATATTTTGATATTCAATTATTTTTTGAATGAATCAACTAATAATTCAGCCGTAACAATAAAACGTTTGGCAATGTTTTGATAAACTGAGGTTTTGTAAATGTTCACAAAGAGATAAATTACCAGTACAGAAGAAAATGTGGGATTGTGTTTAAGCCTGTCCAGCTACAGTAAATAATAAGCTACAGCTAAAATAAGTGCTATAATAATAAATATACAGATTAACATATAGATTAAGTGTTTCAGACCGCAGCATCATTCACATTTCACATTTTCACCTGCTAATTCACTAGAAGAGCTCTGTGCCAATAGGCGTCCTGGACAAGTGGAAGACATTTTGTTCACATTAAAACTGTTTCTAAACGCAGTGTTAAGCTAATTAACCAATTCTCTGTGGTTGGCTAGCTAATGTAAATAATGCTGTGAAAGGACGAGCAGCCGAATGTTCAATAGTAGGTAAATAACTGTTACGGCTTAGAACATTCCAGTGACTGATAATGCGCTTGAGGGATTTTTGTAAGGATAACATTGGCTCATTCTGACAAATCACTTTGGCTTTGTTCTCTCAGCAGGTAAAAGTGACCCAAATCTGATCTTCTTCTTCATGTGTGACACAGATGTGTGTCTGTGTGTTGGCGTGAACAGATAAACACACTGAATCTGACATTTTCAATTCCAATTTGAGACGCTTTCATGTGGTACTGAAATCCGACCTGTATCCGATCTGCAGCAATGCGACTCAGTCTGAACAGCCAGATCAGAATTCATGCGACTTTTACGTCAATCCAACTCAAAACTCGTGCTGCTGGGACTCGTAAACATTCAGGCTGAGGTTTCTGTTCCAAAAAATTAAGAGACTTATCGCAACCGCTTTATGTCCGAAGAGATTTTGAAGGAAAGGTCCGAACGCGGCCGTAGGAAAACGAGGCTGCAGCGTCAAAGAACAGTAACAGCAAAGTCAAAAAAAAGTTTAAAGAATCCGAGGACACGAAGCAAACAAGTTTACCTCTGGATGAGTCGTGAAGCAGCGTGACGCTCTGATCTTTTGCACAATGTGGGTCAGTTTAGGAGCTGATCTGTTCAGACTGATGTCTCATACAGATCACATTTAAAAGATACTGTGAACAGCCAAACATAAAAATCGGATTTGGTGAGCAAATCAGATTTGGGCCTTTTTACCTGCTGTGTGAACTGCATGTCCTCAGGGAGTAGTTTGGTTTGCCAGAATACCAGCATAAAAGGAAAGCTAACATTTACTGACCATGCTTTAGAATCAGAGGGGCATGTGTTGTACGTGACTACCTTATCTTTCATTTTACGGAAATGGTTCGGAGAATGCCAGGAGAACATTACCTGCCTGACTGCACTGTGCCAGCTGTAAAGTTTGGTGGAGGAGGGATGATGCTATGGGGCTGTTTTTCAGGGGTTGATCTAGAACCCTTAGTTCCAGTGAAGGGAAATCTTAATGCTTCAGCAGAACAAGACATTTTGGACAACTGTACACTTCCAACTTTGTGGGAACAGTTTGGGGAAGAACCTTTTCAGTTCCAGCATGACTGAGCCCCAGTGCGCAAAGCAGCTCCATAAAGGCCTGACTGGGTGAGTTTGGTGTGGAAGAACTTGACTGGCCCTCACAGAGCCCTGACCTCAACCCCATCACACACCTTTAGGATGAGCTAAAACAGAGACTGTGAGCCAGACCCTCTTATCCAACATCAGTGTCTGACCTCACAAATGCTCTTCTGGATGAATGGGCAGAAATTCCCAAAGACACAAGACGAAAGCTTTTAGCCTTCCCAGAAGAGTAGAAGCTATTGTAGCCACAAAGGGGGACCAACTCCATATTAACGCCTATGGATTTAGAATGGGACTCATAAAAACCTCTGTATGTGTAACGTGTAGATGTCCCAATACTTTTGTCCTTACAGTGTATTTCCACACAGGGCGAAACAGAAACCCTTCGCCAGTTATGAAGCGAGAATTCCCATCAAATTAATTCATAGACTAATTTGCCCTGAGCAAATCACACTAATTAAACATGACATTCTGACAGGGGAATAAATATTTGCACCAATAAATGGGCACTTCATCTTCTGGTGGTTGGACTAAGAGGAAGGACTCACCTTAACAGTCTCATAATTGAGAAGAGAGTCGATGGCCGCGTTGCCAGCTTCGTTATCCGCCTTGTTCATCTCTATCCTGAAACGGGTCCTGATCCAAGACACATGGGGGGCAGTTAGCATGGCAGAAAATTCTCTCGGATAGACAAAAAGGCATTTTCTAAACTTCAAGTTTTTAGTGGTCTGCTCACTGTTTTTCTACAGCCAGTTTTAGCCCAGCCTAAATTATACTACAATGGAAACCATTCATTGATATTTCTAGTTCTGAATGTAACTGTGGTTCTATTACATTTCTCCTGACCACTGGAGGCGGTGAGTAAGCACAGCGGGCGACAGATTGGATTGCACTCCTAACAGCCCACCGACACTGTTGGACATTCAGGATTCTACTCTGACCTCCACAGGATAAGAACAGTGACTCACCTTGGATTTTCCACAGGCTACCAGACTGTAACACGTGAGGTGATTCAATTCAATATGAAAGATCAATACAGGACTTCATATCAAGGCATGTTATGCTTTATGCAATTCCAATCCTTAAGGCCGTTTTCTGTTTCTCTCTATTTACACCAATGTTGCAGACATAACATTAGTCCTGTCATAATTACTTATTAAAATTGATTAAAATTTTTACATAAACAATTTTTTATATAAAATATTGATTAAAACTGACATTATCACCTTTGTGAGAACATTGCAATTTGAATGACAAACAGGAAGTCATGTTCAGACGTTTGAATATTCTCCACAAGAGGGAGCCAAGGCGAGGAAACCAACACCAGCAGGATCTCACAAATGCACCTATGTTTGTAGTTATAAATGTCATGTATATAAAATTAAAATTAATTGCTTGCCATCATAAACTGCATGTATATAGTTACTCAATTGTATCAAAATAATTAAATGAATCAATTATTAATACAACTGATAGTGACCGCTCTACACACCATAACAGATATTACGCACAATAATGTCTTACAACAATCAGTTTTTTGTAAGGCTGACTTCAGCCTTGATACTTTAGTGTTTGTCAGTTTCTCGTTGCACATTAAACGTATCAGGAAACCAGCTGGAGTGATTATAAATGTAAATAAGTTCATTAGTCTCCAAATTATCGATGTTCATCTTAAATCTCTCTCTTTGTCTTCTTGTTTGTTACTAGCTAGGCGAGAATGTTGTCTGCGTTGCTATTTGACATGCAGTCTGCGCGCCAATCTTCAGAGTTAAGGGGGGGTGAATTAGCAGCATTTAAGACCATTTATTGTTAAAACCGTGTTATTTTACTGTGAAGGAGGATTATTTTATTTTTATTTTATGTTACTTGGCATTATTATGACACAGATGTGCGTCCGTACTCAGTCATTAAGAACCAGGGCGTTTGCACTATGTTGCGCTATGGAGCAGAGATACAGCGTCCCGTCTCGAAGATCTTACTTTTTAAGATTTTTAATGACACAGCGAACCCCCCACTCTCTACAACGAGACCAAAACCGAAGTTATGAAATCACTGAAGAATACAGGTATCCTACGTGCTGCATGGACACCCATTGCCACAGGATCTTATTTCACCATAACATTTTATCGCAGATGAGTGGCAGCCTGTGTCTCATGTGCTCCAAACAAGAGCAGTGAATGAGAGCCTTCCAGTTGACCTGCCACATCACTGCCGTTTGTTTTATTAATAAAAGATATTGGAAGTAAATTCATTGTGGATCATTACAAATACTTTGCTTTAAAAGTACCAAGCCCTCACACAGTGAGGAAAAAAATAAATCCTGTATAGAAAAAAAGATGCGTAGATAATCGTTTTATAATCTCATTGCAGCCTCTGAATTATAATCAAATCAAATCATGGGGTGCCTAGAGATTCCCACCCTTAGTACACACTGTGGAACAATTTTAAAGTGAAAACAGCTCAACAGCAACCTGTAATATCTGTAGTGTCAGTGCTTTAATTACAGCTAAACTAGCTAACACAGTTAATCTAGCTACATGCAAAATGGTCCATAAAGACATGGCTACTACAGCACATTTACAGCCAAAAAAGCAGCACTTCGCTGACGTTAGAGCAATTTAAAACACAAATAGTGTGTTATTTGGTCTAAAGCTAAAACAAAAACAACAACAACAACAACAACAACAACAACAGTTCACACAGTGTGTCACACTTTGCACTTACTAAAAATGAAGCAAATTTACTGTAGTATTTGAATTTGAATTCACTTACCAAAGTTACCTCCTGCACTGTATATCGATATTGTCGGAAAAAACCTCGTATCTCTATTTTTGTCGTTTTTCAGTTTTTGGCATAGTCTGAAAATACCAGTTGCCTTTTACATTGTGTGTAAATTCACGATGAAAGAACTAAAAGAAACGGCCCAAAATGACTTGGAAAAAACTCTGGTTCTGTTGACTTGCATTAAAAGTAAATTAGGTTTTTTCCTTCCCCCGTAAAGTTACTATTTTGGAAATACGAGGTTTTCTTCCGACAAAAGCGATATGTAAATAATACTCTATTTTGCACTTCGAAGTTGAATCTAATCTTATCTAATCTAATCTATTCACTAAAGGACTCGGATCAGGACTGGGCCAAAAAATAAACTTGATCAGAACAACTGTAGTAACGGGGAGCTAGTCTGGGGAATCTGCAGTAGCCTTCCAATCCAGTAGCCTTTAAATAATTCGAGGTGAGCAATCCAACCTCTTGCACACTGCCTCTGGTGGTCAGGAGAAAAACAAACAAAAAAAACAAAAACAAAAAAAAAAACAACACAAAAGCAGAAGCAAGACCAAACAAATGGACAAGAATTACATGCTTGCAATTTTTAATATCATACTGTACCTCCACTGCGTAACTGCGATGGTGAACGCTGTGTAGGCCGCCAAGGTCCCCACAGTAACGAGTGCAAACTGACCGCCGCATTTATAATACTGCCAGAAAGACGAATAGCGTTTCATTAAACAGTGACACGTTTACACAGGCCGTGACATACTTCGAGTTCAGAGGAAATGCCTGTCTCAGCCTAATCTGGCTGGCTAAAAAGCAGCCGCAGTCATTTCACGCAGCACTTAACACACTTCCATTTTGCGATTATGCCCATTAAATTGAGTGTTACAAATGGACAAAATAAAGGAGCGAGTGGAGTTAATGTTTCAGTCATCTGGCCATAGACGTCATTAAAGGACTTGAAGGTGATGAACCTGAGGAGGTTAATCACTTACATCCCTAGTGGGGTACATGGTGTGTGCATGTGTGATGTTCAACAGCAATACATTAGCGCAGACTAATAAAAACTGTCAGACGGCTCAATTTGGCTTAAGGAATATTTAGTATCAGTCAAAAGTCTGGACACATCAGATTGAATGAGTGTTAAAACGTGTTTAAAATTAAAATCTACGGTATTTCTTTCTAAAATAAAAATGATTCTCATATATGGGAAGGGGGACTTCTTTACAGCATCTAAAATAAGATCATTTTGAATTGTTTAGCACTTTTTTTTGGTCTCGGCTGCGTAACGTATTTTTGTCCAATTTATATACAACATGTCAAACAGTGTCATTACCTGCAATGAAAAAATATAGAAGAAAACGTCAGTCACCGCACACACCTTCCCTGACTGACTGCATTAGGATTCTTATCCAACTCATATTTTAATGTTTCAAAGTACCAGATTGCACTTACCAGGATGCTGCTGACCAGTGCCATCTCGAAAACTGTGGGCCCTAGGTTGAAGACCAGGGCGCTGAGGATGAAGCTGATGCCCCGTGTACCCCTGTCGATAGCCTTGGACAGCGCGCCGGTCTGCCGGCTCAGGTGGAAGCCTAGGTCCAGGTTGTGCAGGTGCAGGAAGACGTTTTTGGCGATTCTCCTGATGGAGCTCTGGGCCACCTTCCCAAACACAGCATTCCTCAGCTCATTAAAGAGAGCTGCTCCAGCCCGCGACACGCCGTCTGAGACACACAAACACGGGTTTATTTTTACAGCTTGTCAGGATGTGGGTCATGGATATGTCCCGTATGCATTATACACACATACATCCAAAAGCGTCCCAATACCACTTCTAATTAGGCGCCTTTAGGATGCACCAACTGCTGACACAGGTGTTCAATGGCACACATGCAACTTGTATAATGTCCACAGAAAACCAATGCTATTAGTGTGGGACTCTCTGGACTGCCATACTTAGAGACCAAGGTCAGCATGTCCAAAATCAAGGGTGAGCTACAGTGGTGTAAAGCTTCCCAGCACTTCCCAGAACTTTAGTTCGCTCCGTTGTCTGCAGCAAACAGCTGAATCGGTCCGGCAGAAACTGCGCGAGCCTCTGTCCGCTTCAAACCGAACCCTGTTCAGTTCACTGCTGCTGGAAAAGCGCTCTGTGATCAAACAAGGGAATCAACAGAGCTGACTTTCCTTCTCTTCTAGAGGCACGACGGCGCTGTGCAGTCAGCACAACGCCTGTTTTAACGACTGACTCTTTAGACACTGAGCACAAGCTGCTATTAAAAATAATAGATATAAAATAATGTCAAAGATATGGTTTGATATTGATTTCAACACATGGATCGTAGCGGAGCGTCAGTGGTTAAATTCAACTTGCCGAACTAATGACAAAGAAGCAGATATCAATTAAGATTGGTCACTGTTGATTGTGACGACGCTAATCCAAGCCCAGTGAGTGGAGTGTGGTTTTAAATAAATCACGAAAATATTCAAAACCAGAGAAATCTACAACTACATGTTACCCTGTACTTTTTTTTCTTCTCTCCCCCCTTTTTTGACATCACTACAACCATGTGGTTTAACATGTTTTATATTTGTCCACATACCTGCAAATTTTGCAAACCTACTGATGACCAGAATGGCCAGTCTGATCTTTTTCAGGACCTAAATTTCAGGTTTTCAGCGTCAGCATTTAAGAAAAGAAGAATGAAGTTGTATTTAAAACAGTTGATTTTAGTTTTCCTGTGGGCCGCTATGCTTTGTAGTTATACACACGTGGGCTTTGGAGTGGAGGCGAGAACCCCTAGTCTAGACCTACCCCTAATCTGACCGTAATCTTAAAGCATGACTTTAGCCAAAAAGAAAAATTTAACCATTAAATCATTTGTTGTATACATGCCTACTCGCCTCCCACAGTTGTGACACAGAGAGAGATTTCCTTCTGATGACACATCTTGAAAGTGGTAGGAAATTTGGAAAGACTACAAGTACTGGGGTGTATATAATTATGCTGCCTTCAAGTCATGTCAGATATATTGTATTTATGAGAAGGAAACTCTTTTTCTATGAGCCCTGAGTTTCCAATTTGGAGGTATGTCAATAAAGAAGAAACGGCAGCCACGGATCTGTATTCTAAACTGTTTATATTTCAGGTATTCAGCAGCCATATATTAACACTGCAGGCTAAAATCATCATACAAATATAAGCACATTATGTGATGCTTCTGGATTAAAACATTACTCATCTCATAAGCAATCACTGCTCTTCATTTTGTTGTAGTAACAAGCATTATTTCCAGCGCGTCCATCTTGTTTCCGACCCAAACCACTGGAACACAAGCCATGTCGTACTTATGACCTCCAAATTCATAAGCTGGAATTTCTGAGGAGGACCTGAAGGCAGCATCAAATGCCTCAGTGTAAAAAGCTTATGTTGCTAGCTGGCTAATGCCTTTGGGCTAATACAGAAGTAGGGCTGGGCGATAAAACGATAACGATAATTACAGCGATATAACTTGCTTCGATACAGCTATAAGAAATGCTCGATACATGTTCGAAGTGTTCTCACACTTCCATGTTCTAGCGACAGACATGGTATTTTCTACTGCGACACTACTCTGCTGTCGCCAGGAGAGGGCGCACTTCCGAGTTTTGGGGGGGGGCTAATATTAGTTACAGCCCTCATTGCCAAATATACATTAGCAATGTCAAACGTGGAATTATATATTGCCTGTTTGAGTGGAGCGACCGGCGATCTGCTCTCCTGTGACCGAGTGTGAGTGACGAGGTCAGTGGCGTAACTGTACTGTTCTACAGTGAACTCACCTCTTTACTAATATCCTAACAGCTTTAGCAGCGTTAAATCACTTCTGATCCTCACAGCTACAGCACTGTAACAGCGCTCAGTCATATTTTAGTATTAGTGCATTCCCAAGCAACGAAAGTGAAAGAAAGAAGTGGGTTCATGTAAATTACAGCCCTGATTTAAACGAAAGTAACCTGAGGATGCGATGTTTTTATGTGAGGCATTGGAGGGCGGGAGAACGCCATCTTCCGAGGCTAGCTGTTTTTAGCAGCTGGCTAAGTGGAAGCAGCTCCGTCACTTGCACAACACGGCGAACTGATGTTACTGTAGATCAAACACGACAAAAAAAGCGCTGATTTCAGTTTAAACGTACCTAAAAGGAGGACTCTGTTTGTCTGGTGCGAGAGATTCACACGGCAGTTATTGCTTTTACACAGCGAGCGTCAGATATACTGCGGTTCACCCCTTAAACTACTAAGTTATAGAGAATAGAGAAACCCAGTTGTCGCTAGCTGGTGTCTAAATACTGTGATATGCTCTGACATGGATGTGGTCGGAGTGACGGCAGTGAGGCAGTGTGATCATCACTGACATACCGAACCAGCTAATGTTTGCTGTTCGTATTAAACTGATGTTGTTGAGAAACTAAACAGTTTAGCATTTGTAGCAGGACAGACGAGTACTCGTCACCAGAGAGCTAAAATAATCTGTTTTCTTAAATTATGACAGTTACAAAACCTGCGGCCGTGCTTTTCCAGCTGGTAAAAACAGCTCACTAGAAACTCTCTCTCCCACTGCCCCATGACAGATTTGTGAAATGTTCCACTGTTTGTGATGAGTGTTTGTGATGTTCTGACCATAAAGGATAGATTAAAACCACAATTAACCACCCAGGAGCAAAAATCAGCCTTCGAACTTGAAAGAAATAATGATTTGACATTTATTACGATACGTTTCGATATCGAACGATATGAAATGTTTTTGTCATGATAGCATTTTTGGCCATATCGCCCAGCTCTATACAGAAGTACGCCAATGTTACTGCTAAGCAGTCGAGTATCTTCTTCCAATCATATTACCTGTCTAATTGTCTTTAAACCATCATTACAACAGAGAGTGTGGATTACACAAACAATAGAAATGACCAATCAGATGAGGGAAACAAGTTAAAAGGTAAAGCTAGCTGATTAGCTGACTACCAAACTAGCTAGCTAAGTACCTCAGTTTGGTTCATTTTCTGAGGCTGGAATAGAGCAAGGAATGTCTGGCATCCATTTTATGTTGAATAAAACAGGAATTGCCATTTGATTTGTTGGATATTTCAACATAGCGTTCAAACATCTTTGGCTGTCCTTTGGTTCGAAATGCGCGATGCTCACTTTTTGCTGCTGTTGGAAGAAAACCTCGCATCTCCATTGTTGTCGTTTTTCAGTTTTTGACATAATTTGAAAAAGCCTGTCACCCTTTCAGTGAGGACAGTAATGAAGTAAATGTAATTCGTTACTGTACTTGAGTAGTTTTTCCATTTTGGGCAACTTTTTACTTTCACTCCACTACATTTCAGAGTCAAATATCTCACTTTTTACTCCTCTACATTCTGAGAAATCTGTCGTTCTTTTTGGTTTATGTGTGTATAAAAACGTAACGTCAAAACGAAAGAAGCGCAAAGCAAGAACACCAATCAGGGAACAGCGCACTTTGTTTTGAGCTTGTTTTGACCTGTTGGTCATACCGACCCAGTGCAGCACACGGTTCAACGTCAGTGCAGCAGCGTAAAATTTTGGGAGAGTCTATTCAACATAAATGATGAACTAACCTAACTTTGTGTAAATAGACCACAATATAGAAATATGTACTCATATGCAGTTGTGACTGACGTGTCTTTTTTCTGAATTTATACAAACACATTTCATTTTATAGTAAATTAGTTTTGGCTAGTTTATGTTTATGAACAGAGACCTACAGATGCAGTTTAGTAAAGGAAACTCATTTGTGAATCTGAGTTTAAAGTTTTTATTAAACTTAAACTTGTAACTAAAGTTGCAAATAAATCTTAAACTGAAACTTTGCTTGTTTGCATAAAGTTATTTCAGAGCCACTCAGTTCTACCTGATGGAAACTGTTTGCCTTCAGTGTTTTGTGCTTTTGATAATTTTAATAGACATCAGCGTCACTAATTAATGACTCTATTAAAAGACTGGTTTACCAAGAGCGACACTGGAGTATTTTCACCTAAAATGAGTTAATGAAGTCTTGTTGAGTCTTGTTATAAAAATGATAACAGGACATCAGAGCCATAATTAATCTTTTAGTACTTTTACTTTTGATACATAAGTACATTTGAAGGCAAATACTTTTGTACTTTTCCTCAAGTGGAGGTCTAAAGGGAGGAACTTCTACTTTTACTGGAGTAATATTTTACCTTGGGTGTCTCTACTTTAACTCAAGTACATGGTTTGTGTACTTCGTCCACCACTGCACCCTTTACAATGTGTGTAAATTTCATGAGGAATGGACCAAAAGAAACGGCCAAATATTTTAGTTTTATCCTTCATCTTTCAGTAGCTAGGCTAGCAAAAAATGTGTGAGCCCCACATATTTACATAATGCAAACTGTGTAATATAGTGAGAAATCACTAATGGATGGAAAAACAAACACAAAACCAAATCAATGAGGCTGAGGGACACAGGCTGCACTACAGAACACTACAAAGTATAACAAACGACAATTTAAATTTCATTTGCATATGCAAATGGAACTTTTTTTAATCCTAATCTAACTTTTAGTTTTAAAATTTGACTATTAAACTATCCTAATTTAATTTTAATTTTTAATTTAATGATTTTCTCTTTTAAATGTATTGTTTTGTTTTTAATGTTGTTTTTAATTGTTTTTATATTTGCTTTTATTTTACTTTGTTTAAAACAATTCTTACTCTGAATTTTCTCCCTTGTAAAGCACTTTGAATGACAAACGTGTTTGAAAGGTGCTATTTAAATAAACCTGCCTTGCCTTGCTTTAGCTCCAGTAACTAATATAAATTTTTTGTTTCAAAAAAAGCTTTTGTAAGATACAAAAGCCCAAATTCACTCTGTGAATAGGTAGTGCTTCGCAATAGTGCTGCTACAAATAGATCACCAAGCGCTATCGCAACAATTTCCTAAAATAAACCAGCTCTTGCCATTTGTGCTCTGATAACAAGGTGAGGCATCACGTCACTGGACTCTTTCACGGGCACTCGGAAAAGGGGGGCTTCTCACTGCCAGAGGTCAGACGGAGTAAATTAGCGCTGAACAGCGGTGCTGCTGGAAACTGTGGCGTGATGAGGACGGCAATGACAGAGGCTTCCTCTGTTGTCTCTGTGCGCTCAGCTGTGCCACGCGTCACCTTAGGCTCATTAAAACTGCTCTGCAGCTCCCGCATCCACAGACACTTCTGCTTCCTCTCCATCCGGAAACATCTTCAGGCTCTCGTAGTATTAGAAGGATTAGAAAATCACACAAGTATAAAACGAAAAACCGAGATCAAACATTATTTACAGAACGTAATCCACAACAGAAACAAAATCCTGTAAAAAATTGTACTTAATTTTAAAATAATGGTAGTTAATAACGATTTTATTTTAAAGCATTTTTTATTTCTAAACAGAAAAGTTATTTTTGGCTTCTGCTCCAGCATTTATTTCTCTGGACGGTAACCGTTAAGATCTATGCTAAAAATGCCAATATTCTTCTGACATAGCAGTAAGCGGTTAAAATAACAGGCACACGCTTTTAAAATTAATCAATGAAAAGTCACTATTCACAAAATAACATTACTAACCAGATTAATATATATTAAAATAAGGTTTTCACTCAGATTTTATTGTTATACTTTAAAAAACAACAAAAAATCATTTTTAAATAGCCAGAGGTACGTTTATGGTGCTGTAAGGCACAAGGGTCAGCAAAGAAAACTTATATTTTTGACATTTACAACTAGTTTCTTTTATTTTAACATAACATATAAAAACTCAGAAGATATGTGAAGTCTTATTGGCCAATTTGGTTCGGAAATAAAGTGGCTGTATTTGCTGTAATTGTGACCCCTTGTTGTTATCACCATCCGTGTGAAGATGTCACAATTTGACATCAAACGACTCTAAATGGATTTGTTTCCTCCGCATCCAGTTCCACCCACAAGTTAGGACCCCCCATTCACACGATACTACCAGCGCTAGGATGGTGAAAGCTAGCACAGGCTTCATCTGAGACCTGCGAAGCGAGCCACCGCACCTTTTTTCGAACTGTCGCTAATGCAACGTTATTGGACAGCTGAACCCGCTTGGAGGAACGTGCCAAACACCAGTTCTGTTACATCAGCTAACAGACTCCGGCGCTGGCCAGCACTGGGGGGAGACAGGTAGAGTAAGGCCAACTGTGCTTTCTTGGCTTTTCCCAGCCACAGACGGCTGTCGCATCACCAGCGATTGAACTCACAATCTCCTGATGATGGGGCCAACTCTTAGATGGCTGCACCACTTCGGAGCCCCAAATGTGTCTTTTAGCCATTTCTAAGCTCTGTGCCAAGAGCTTCAATTTAGTGGTCAGCCTCATCTCCCGGTCTCAAAAAAACAGGCGGTGTTGTCTATTACACAGTTTGTTAATGCATTACTGTGTGGCCAAATCAAACCTGGACTACCATTACTAAAGAAGCTCTGAATTTGAAAAATTATAGAAAATAATTCGCTCCTGAATTATTACTTAGCAACTACAGATTCAAACTGGATTAAAATCACAGATTTCATTGGTAATCACTCAAATTGCAGCACACCCCCAGGTAAAACTAATCCAGCTCAAATAGGGCTTTATTGTGTGGATGAGTTCGCAAAAAAGTGTGACTGCAGACCTGAGAACGGATTCAGATGTTCACTGAAAAATAATCTTACTCATGCAATCATAGAAAGCAGCGTTACTGCAATCTTGAAAGAGCACTCTAACGTGCCTTGTGAACACAAAGGCTTCCCTGGCCCTGAAAAATGAATTTGGTGCTAGCAGAATAAATCCTTTCGCCCCCAAGCGTTCAATCTTTTGTGTCTTACGCACCTTATCGACAAAGGCAAATTTTTGCTCAGGTAAGTTGCGGCTTACGGCACAAAAACATCCTATCTGCAGAGGCTCAGACAGAGAGCTCCAATTAATGGTGTGTGTGCGCAGGACCTAATGGGTCTCATTAAATCCGCAGCTTACAGGGAGAACTGACAGTACGTTTTGACTGCATGCTACAATGACTTGCAAAGCAAGTGGTTCCTATTACTCATTAAGTTTGTTTTATTTTCTTCAAGAAACCGCATGCAAGCAAGCGCATTAAAATTCACAGATGGTGTCAAGTCTTCGATGCATGTCACCTGCGTTCCCAAACAGGCCTGCTCAAGCGGTAGCCTGAGGTTTGAATTTGGGTGACGGGGCGACATTAATTTTCGATGACAGCGCTTCGTACGGCTAAAATCTCTGACAATTTTCTGACGGATTTTCTTGTTATTTCGTGGCCCTCGGCTCGACGTTCAGATTACATTTCGCCCCACCGGGACAAAATGCTTCGGCCTACCCTGTTCATGAAAGATTAAAAGCGCGGCAGAGGAAGCAGCCGAAATATGAGCCGAGAGAGAGAGGCAGCTTAGCCGGCATCCGCAGCGCAGAACGTGTGTTTGTGATTCAGAACCACATCCGAGGTTTCTCGGTCCCACAGGTACCGCGGTGGCGGGCGCTTAGACAAAAGCGAGACTCACCAGAGACCTGCTTTCAATCGACGTTAATCAAGTCGCCACCACAAACTGAATTAGCAGCTTAGGAGGCAGATGTGTCAAGTCACTGCAGAAGCAGCGAAAGGTTTAAAAAGCAGCACTGATAGGAATCTTTTCCAGAAAAAAGGTCACCCCACTCATAACACGCGGCATCTTTCCTGAGATGAAGTCAAACACCTGCCAAGAGGAAGGGGGGGAGGAGTACTCACAGCCAATCAAAACTGCCGTTGCCATGGTGGCCACCGTGTTTGGCGCGTCACTCAGGTTCAACATGTGTCCCGACATCTGGTTCAGGCCATCCACTGCATATTTAAACATGAAGGGCACCATCACGTTGGTCATCTGGAGAACGAGCCAAAAAAGAGGAAGAAAAAAAAAACAAAACACAAAATTAATAAAAAAGAAGGACGGGGAGAAAAAAAGAGGGAGAGAAAAGGGTGAGGCAGAGTGAGCTCAGGAAACACGCTGATAATTTTGAGGCACTGCATTAGGAGCAGGCTGTTTTGTGCGCGCTCCTCTAGACAGATCGGGAAATGAGTTGGTTGATGCATCCACTAATGGAATTGAAATGGTTATTAAAGCTAATTAAAAGCTCGGGGACAGCTGCTCGGCTGCCGTGCTGGGCGCCGCAGCGCATTAGACGGGCCGGAGTGGGTGCAGCACACCATTTCCCCTTAATTTTCCTCCCCCACTTTAGTTTAACCTTTATGTCCCATGTGACCAGGGCAGAGAGAGATGGAATTTCAGGTGAATGGCAGCAGCAACCTTGTTTTCCCTCTTTAACCCTTAGGAGTCACATTTAATATCACAGCTGACATCAACAAATAAGGCAGTTGGAGATTGTGTGGATTCTAAAACATTCAAATTACTGAATTAATCCCACATTTGTGTTTTTTTAGGAGAGGATGAGGCGTATTATTATTATTATGATCTGAATTTGAAAGTTATTGTTGTGAGTGCAGCTGTGAAAAGGAAAGGAAAAATCATCCTTGCCATGCTTGTCAGTTATTCAAACAAATAAATGAAATAAAATAAAACTCTCCACGTCGCTGTGGTGTCGTGTGGCGCTTGAGAGGTTTCAGAGTGTGGGTTCACTACAGACGGACGGCACAAGTTTCCCCAGGTAAGCTCCAGTACTCTCTTCATTAATGTGATCAGCATCCAAGTAAACAGACACTATTTATACTTGTGGGAAAATAAAGAAAATAACAGTTTTTAAAGGGACTAATCACAATTTATAGCAGCTTCAAACAGCTTGGTCACCTATGTCTTTTGGCTGTGAAGCCAAACAGATAACACACAGAGTACCATTCAGACAAAACTAAATTAATTCCCAACACACTCGATTCCAGTGCTTTTTTTACAGAAATTAATCAATTAAGAGTCGGGATCATACCATTATCTGTAAATAAAGAAGAACAGTTACAAAATGTTTAGTTGTCCATCTCTGACAGCATGTTTTTCATTTAGCTACAATTACTGGTAAGAACATTCACATATTCATGAAATAGTATTTAACAATGAAACAACAGAAATGAAGAAGTGCTGCAGAGGTCACAAAAACGAAGCAAAAAGACAAGATTCCATGCTGGGAGAGGCAAAAACCAAAAAAATCCGTCTGCATCCACAAGGCATGTGCAAAATAAATCCTGGAGTAAAGAAATTCTCAGCCACACCGTCTTAAGAAAAATATAAAATGCCTTTACTGAAATAATGCAATCTGTATAAAAATGTGCAGACATGTTGTGGCTTCCTCAGGACACAGAACAACGGCATGTCGTTTTTAGATTTTGTCTAAAAATGACTTGGGAAAATGTCTGGTTTTTACGGACTTACATTAAAAACTACAAAAAAGTAAAGTGTGTTTTTTCCTTCTCCTATAAAGTTACCATTATCGAGATACAAGGTAGGTTTTCTTTTGACAACAGTGATATATATATCTCCCCCCATTTTCTTCCTGACCAACAGGTGGCATATATACATATATATGTAATATAGGCTTTTTCTATTTTTACCAATTGGGTAAACATACATACATACGTACATGCGTACATACATACATATCGGTGTTGTCAGAACAAAACCTTGTGTCTCCAAAACGATAACTTTACAGGAGATGGAAAAACTCTACTTTACTGTTAATGTTAATTCCAAGTATTTTTGGGCCGTTTCTTTTGGTCCATTCATCCTGAAATTTACACACAATGTAAAGGGCAACAAGTGTTTTCAAATTTTACATACATACATACATACATACACACACACACACACACACACACACACACACACACACGCATATATATGTATACATACATATATAGCTCTAGATGTCCACAGCATAAATCGGTCACAAATTTGCAAAGCTGGACTGTGACCTCATTCTGGCATGTGACGTTGCTGCGGATAAAGATGAACCTTCATGATAACAGAGTTCTTGCAACAAGCGGTGGCGCAGCAGCGGAAAGCAGGGATTTCTGACTTACCAATTACTGCAATGAAGGCCAATTTGTAAGAAAACAGAGAATGAGCTGCCAACACCTTGCTAATAACTTTACTTTCAAGTCTCACTTCGGTTCATCCCTGGTGTATATAGCAATGCCCTTTTCCATAAAGAGCAAGTCAGTGGATCACTTGATCCAAACCAGCTTTAATTATGAGCCTGACTTCTCGTTCAGTCTGGCACGAGAATAACCGTGTACAGGCCTATAAAAAGAAAAAAAACTCCATACTGTCCTGTTGATTTGGAGGATTTTGAGACTTTTCAGGGCGATTCTTTGCTTTAATGACGCAACGTGGTGGACATTCCTCTCTCGCGTTCAATTCCGCCCAGTGTGATAAGGTGGCGGAGCCCCAAACAGGCTGTTAAAGCGGAGGGGGGTTATCTGTGCACCGCACACTTGTCAATCTTTATCTGCCTTTCCAGATTCGACCTCTCCTGACCCACGGGCGGGAGATAAAGGGGGCACGGGTGGGAGATGCTCCGGGCGGAGGCAGCTGTTAGCCGATTCTGGAGGATGAATTCTCCCCTCCGTTTTCATTCGGCGCCCACGTCTGCAGGACGGCGGCCCAGCCAAGGGCAAAATCTCTACGCTCCAACCTACATGACATGATAATACGCCGATATGCATTTGCTATAAGCAGCCTCGTCAATGGAGAACAATGCAGCATAGCGTGCATCAGCAGCAGCGGGTCATTTGTGTGTCGAGAGCTGCATGCAGAGTGAGAAGGGGAACCGAATTCAGGGGAACTGCAGACCTGTCAGTCTTCCTGTGGGTGCAAATTAGTGACAAATTATACCAAGGAGCACAAACAATGCACAAATGATAGTGTTTTCCTTTGTTAAGCTGGCCTTGCTAACACTGAAATTCTGCAGTGCCCCTGAAAAAGGTGCTGGTAAAAGCTGACAAAAGCGCGACTCTCCCTGATTAAAGTGTTGGGGTGGCTTTTTAACCTTTTGTTCGTAGCCACGAGTCAAAAAAAGGCTTTTTAATTTCCAGTAGGGCGCCATGGAAATCCATTTTTGAACCTGGGAAAATCTCTCAGTTTTGAAACAATATAAATGTCAGCACATCAAAAGGGCCTGAAGCACTTTGTCACAGCTGTCAACTACGACGCCACTGCCACTGCGCTGCTGGAAATGACACAGTAATGACCCTCCTCTCATGATGTTAACTCACCTTGGCTCCAGCTAGCAGGCCCAGTGAAATGGCCACTCGAGCTCGCAGGTCTGGCCGATCTTTGGGCCAAACATACGACAGCATCGCTGAGAGAATCTTTGTTGTGTTCACTTCCTTCAGCTGGGGAAAGACAAAAAAAAAGACAAAAGCAAAATTAAATTCTTTAAACCATTTCTTTCCTCTCTATTCACTGTGGCAGACAATGAAGAATAAAGCTAGGAAGTCACCAAAAGCAACCTAAAAGCAGCAACTCGGTTAGACTGGTTAGCACTTCGGACTGTAATTGGACTGCATACGTTTTAGAACATGGGTGTCAAACTCCGGCCCTGGAGGGACCACAGCAGCGTGGATTTTAGCATTTTCCCTTTCCTAACACCCCTAATTCAACTCATGAAGGGCTTGATAATTAGTTGATGGGTTGAATCATGCATACTAAAGCAGTGTGGATGAGAAAATGTTTCTCTGTGCAGTGCTGAGGACTTTCAAGACTGCCTACAGAAGTACGTTTTTGAAACTGTGTTCAACCAAAAGCATTTGTCATCCACTATACAACGTATTTAAAGGCATATTGATTCATTAACAGCACTACATCAAAATACATCAACAGCAAAATGTGCTGCAACATAAGCACTATTCGTAAAGTCACCATGGCAGTGACAAAGTTTCTTTATAGTAGTAATAGTAGCAGTAATAGAAGTAATAGTAGTAGTAATAGTAACAGAAGTAATAGTAGTAGCAGTAATAGTAGTAGTAATAGGAGTAATAGTAGTAACAGTAATAGCAGCAATAGTAATAATAATAGTAATAGTAATACTAATTAATAGTAATAGTAGTAATAGTAGTAGTAATAGTAACAGAAGTAATAGTAGTAGCAGTAATAGTAGTAGTAATAGTAATAGTAGTAATAGTAGTAACAGTAATAGTGGCAGTAATAGTAATAATAATAGTAATAGTAACTCATTAATAGTAGTAATAGTAGTAATAGTAGCAGTAATAATAGTAGTAATAGTAGCAGTAATAGTAGTAATAGTAGTAATAGTAATAATAGAAGTAAATGTAATAGTAATATCAGTAGCAATAGTAGTAATAATAGTTATAGCAGTAACAGCAATAGTAGTAGTAATAGTAGTAATAGTAGCAGTAATAGTAGTAATAGTTGCAGTAATAGTAGTAATAGTAGCAGTAATAGTAGTAATAGTAGCAGTAATAATAGTAATAGTAGCAGTAATAATAGTAGTAATTGTAGCAGTAATCGTAGTAATAGTAGCAATAGTTGCAGTAATAGTAGTAATAGTAGCAATAATAGTAGTAATGGTAATAATAGTAGTAAATGTAATAGTAATAGCAGTAGTAATAGTACTAGTAATGGTTATAGCAGTAACAGCAATAGTAGTAGTAATAGTAGTAATAATAGTAGTTGTTGTATTGAGAAAACAGGCTAACGCTAACCTGTAAGAGTCTAAGAGGGAACGAAAAAGTCTCGCCACTTGAATTGATGAATTTGACTGGCTAAGCTATGTTGAAGAGCAAGGGATGTTCTGCGTTACCTACTGTGCGGACCCCAGTGAGAAGTAAGTAGCTGGTTACTTAAGTGTTTTTGGCCTTCAGTCATGTAAAATGTGGTTTTACAAGTCATCAAAAAAGCTTAATGTCAAGACCCAAATGTAGCCAATAAATAAAAGAAGCTTATACCCCATTAACTTGCACTGTGCAATCTGCATGCCTGATTCCTCTCACCCTTGCCCCAAACCCAGTTGAGCTGATGAGTCGAACCGATTTATCACTGGGCGAAAGCATCAGGCAATATGGATAAGCCATGGTTTTAATGAATACTGGCTAAAATATCAGTGCTAAAGTGGTGATAATTAACATTTTTTATTCAAACTAGTGATCTCCCAGTGATGGGGCAAAACATTTCACAGTTGTGCCTGTAGGGAATGTGAGTCACTCCCTGCTTAACTTCATGAGAACAATACAGACTGAACACATCATTACAGTTAGAATAACAAAAACATATAAAAAGAGGTTTCATTATTTAAGACTGAGTTTCTGCTGTTTGAGTGAGACAAGTAAGGACTGAATCATATCTTTTACTAAAGCAGTGTTCATCTAAAGCTACTGGAGTAAAAATTAAGAAATCTAGTATGCAAATACACAATTATATGGCCGATATTATCAGCTATTGAAATCAGAATTTTCAGAACAGCTGGGCCTTTTTAAGGAATCTCAAATAGACTTGCTTATGTGGTTTCTGACCGATACGATACTTTCAATTCAATAACGATACCATAACGATATTTTTTTCCCCGATATCTTTTTTCTAATTGTGACCAAAAAAAAAGGAAATATTATTATCATAGTTTTCTTTTTCTACTGCATACCAGGCAGACATTAGTGTGTTTGATGGCATATCTCTGGACAGGGGCCGATACTTGGGATTTAATGCTTGTCATCTCTTTGAAGAAATGAAAAACAGAGAAAAACGTATTCACAAACACATTATTGTAACCACTGCTACAGGTATGCCATCGAGCAGGGGTGCACAACCTCGGTCCTGGAGGGCCAGTGTCCAGCACAGTTTGGTGATTTACCTGCTCAAACACACCTGATCACACTTTTCTGTTAACTGCCAGGTTAAGTGAGTGCGTTTGAGCAGGGGGACCTCCAAACTGTGCTGGCCCTCCAGGCCCGGAGTTGTGCATCCTTGCCTTAGAGGGATAAAACAAATGATCTATCCCGCGTGTCCCACCTAAACCAGAGAGACTCAACAGTCAAAAAAGGCTGCAATCAATAAAGCTGGCTGCTAACAATAAAGCTGGTTACAGCTCTGTGGCTTCTTCCCTCCCCTCAACCGGCATCCTTAGCTTTTCGAGTGGAGTAGCACTGGTAGAACTGGCCCTAATTAATTTCGTCTGTAATCAAATGTTTCATCAGATTTGACGTATCACCTGTTTTGGAAGCCACTATCTTAAGGCACATGTCGCCCCTGGAACTGTTCTCAGTAACTTTTTTAAAGTAGAGCCAGACTTTCAACCTCTTCGACACATTTAGCTGCGTCCTCTCTACGTTTCTGTTCATCAGGAAGCCAGTTGCAGTTTTTTGCATCAGTTGTAAGGTTAATCCAATAATCCTCTGTGATTTGCATTTTATGCAAAGTATCGAGAATAGGCATCAATGTTTTTGAGACTTTTGGGTAGTCAATAGTACTGAGATGTTTCGGTCGGTGCTTTTCTGGTATTGAATTTCGGTGCCCAGCCTAAACAGGCTTAATATCGATGCTGCAACTATTTTCGGTACATATCCAGAGTTGTGTGAAACTGATTTTTTACAGAAATATTGCTTTAAACACACTAAACGCTAGAGCTCAGGTGAACGGTCTACAGGGAAGCCAATGTCAGCTCGGCACTGAGATAATCAGCTAAAGCTAATCAGATTTAGTGACTGAAATAATGAATATTTATCTCTGAACTGTTTTCTGCTTGGCTCAGTTCTTCAGGTGATCTATGACAACTTTGGGAAGCTGCTTTCTGAAACCACACACGCATTGCCGGACAGCTGGGGGACAGAGCATCATATGGTCCGGGCCGCGAGGGCAGGCAGGGCGGCAGCGGTAGCAGCAGCCGCTGCAGGTGGCCGTGGAGACGCTGCCTGGCATCCCACGCAGCGCTGTTCCCCTGAGCTTCCACCAAGCCCACTCGCTCGCATGCTGTGTGTGCCAACCGGCCTGTTTACTCTGTCCAACCACCTGCTGCCATGACTGTCTCAAAAATATGAGTAAACTCCTCTAATCCTGTCAATATGGTAACATAAAAATGAGGCGCTGGCGGAATGGCACGGGAACAAAGTAAATCAAATTAAAAATAGCCGACACCTGTGCTTGGTCACATCCAACTAGGCAACATGACGGGGAGAAAAAAGGGGGGAGTGTGGGGGGTAAGCTTCACTTAGTTGTCACAGCACTGCATGAGAAGAAATTCAGTTTGTTTTTAATGCAATGCGGCTTGTTATGCAGAAAAAAAAAACATCTAATATTGAACTTAGACCAATGGAGCCTCTGATCTATTATTCCCTGTCATTATGATCGCCAACATACCCTGACAGAGAACATCAGGCCATTCTTTTCAGCAATAAACATGGCTGAGGGCTGTAGTCTGAGACCATTACATTCTTTATGTAAACCTATCCAAAACACTGACCGTCACTGTCATAGATATAGCATATTGTTTATCATCATGAGACATTCAGGCTCATTTGGCTTCTGTGGTTTTAAAAGAAAAAAATAAATAAATAAATAAAATAAAACATATCCACATAGCATAAGACAGCAGAGCAAGGCTGTCATTGAGCGCGTTTACATGCATTCAATAAGACGATCATAACTGGATTTCTGCAGTTATGCAATTATTTAAACGGCCATGTAAACATCATATTCCGATCTAGAAATCCAATTAAGAAATGTGATAAAGAGGCTGGATTTTAGCTCAGTAATCAGATTTCTCTCTTACTCTGATTTCTTTCGGAAAAAAGTGAGCAGTGTCGCCCCGAGACGCAGCAAAACACTGTATAACACAAAATAACACAAAATAAAGGGTTTAAATGTTTATTGGCTGGTTGCAAAGCAGATATCTAATTACTGCCTGACTCACGTAGACCTGGATTTTTCCCATTATCAGATTACTCAACTGCATATAAATGCGTCAATCGGATTACTGACAAAATTTGATTTTCTGCCATTATCGGATTATTGAGTGCATGTAAACACACTCACTGTTAATTCTACTTCTGACCTACTGATTAATTTCACTAGTAATAAAGTAAGGACAGTTTAAAAAATAGCTAAAGTGATTCTTTGTTTTCTGTTCCTACTTGTCAAACCTGAAAAACTACAAACCTCAATTCCGAACAGTTGGGACAGGATGTAAAACGCAAACAAAACCAGAAGGCAATGATTTGTGAATCCACTTTTACCTGTATTTAAAACGAGTATGAAGACAAGATATTTCGAGTCTTATCTTTTTCATTATTTTACGCTCAATGTGAAATTGATGTCCGCAGTATGCGCCAAAGAAACTGGGATGGGGCAATTTAAGATAAGAATGCTGAGAAATGTTTAAAAACATAAACAGTCGAGGCAATCATGCTACTGAATAAAAGGAGCATCCAGCAAAGGCCTGGTCCTTTATGAGCCAGGATGCATTGAGTCTCGTCACTCTGCCAAAAAATGCATCAGCAAAAAACCCAACAGTTTAACAACAATGTACCTCAACAAGCAAGGATTTCAGGTATTTCACACTCTATGGTGCATCTCATCAAAAGATTCCGGGAAACCAGAGAAACCTCTGTGCATGAAGGCAAGGCTGAGAACCACAGCCGAATGCCCATAACCTTCAATTCCTCAGCTGGCACTGCATTAAAAACCAACATGCTTCTCTGACAGATATCACTGCATGGGCTCAGACACACTCTGAAAAACTGTTGTGACTAAACAACGTTCGTTACAGCATCCATAAGTTAAAGTTAAGACTGTACGAAACAAAGTCGTATGTCAAAAATGTCCAGAAACGCCACCGACTTCTCTGGGTTCAACTTCACCTGAAATTAATTGATTCACATTGGAAATGTGATTTGAGCCAACCTTTGAGATTGTTTATGGAAATTAAGGGAGGTAACGCTGTCCGGGTCAAAGACGAAAAAGGTCCACCCAGATCGTTACCAGCGTAAAAAAGTAAAAATCCAGAATCTGTTATGGTGTGGAGGTGTATTAGTGTGCACGGCATGGGTAAACTGCACTTCTGTAAAGGCACAAATCAGGCTGAAAGACATACAAACATATAAATTGGCCTGCCTACAGGTCAGACTTATCTCCTATTAAAAATGTAATGTGTTACAAAGGCGCAGCTGAAGACTTGTATAACAGAAGATTAATAAAAAAAAAATAAAATCTGCTTTCAAAACTGGATCAACTGGATCAACTGGAGTCTTCTGTCCCCAAACAATTATTAAGTACTGTTCTCACTTTAATGCAGGTCAAACAATTTAGTAACCATTGCTTTCTCTTTTTATTAGCATTTCACATACCTTCCCAATTCTTTTTAAATTTGAGGTTGTTAAATATCACAATGGATATAAGCTATCATTAAAATGTCTTGGAGAATTTTGATGTTTTTGTGATGTATTTTTGCCATTTCATCCACTCCTAAATCACTGCCAATTTATGAGGAAGACACACACACACATACATCATCTAAACCGCTTATCCTTCTGGGTCGCGGTGGGGTGCTGAAGCCTATCCCAGCTGTCATCGGGCAGAAGGCAGGATACACCCTGGACAGGTCGCCAGTCCATCACAGGGCATGAAGATACAGTTTGATCTAATTTTAATTTTTAATTTTTTTTTTTTTTTATTTAGTTATTAAGTTTAATGAGTAAATCTTAACAACCCTAATGAGGAATAACAGATTAAAGGAGAAGCCATTGTAATACAGCTGTAAAACACGGTAATACATGTAAAACAACCTTACCACATTTTTGGGATCTGCACTCAGGCCTCCACCAGCGTGGCCGTGCCAGCAGGTTCTCTCTGGTATCTGCAAATGCTGAAATGCAAAAGTAGTCATACTGTTTTCTTCATGCTACAGGTAAATGGTCAGTGTATGCAATTTATGCTGGATGTCAAGGGTGCTTCAGGACAGCAACCACTAGCTATACGGAAAATGAAAGTCTTGCCCTTTTACAGGATAAGTAAACGATTTAAAGTGCACTTTGAGTGATTTATAAGGACTGTATAAATTGCAAGGTCAGAAAAAACAAGGTCTTGTCTGCAGATGAAAGAAAAAACTAAATCAAAAACACCAATTCCCTGCATACTTTTAGAATCCACATGCCTTTGAAACCACTTCTCCAGCTCCACCTGGAATTTACTTATCATATCATGCTGGATTTAATCAAGCTTACTTTTGCAGCTTCCAGTATCTGCCGACTGTTCCCTCGACTTGATGCCCATGTTGATGATGTTAGATTTGGACCCAGTAACTAGAAGAAAACAGGAAAACAGTAAGAGATGGTACAGTACAGGTAAAGCCTAGTGTGAGACTAAAAGGATCTGCAATGAAAAGTCCAAGCCAAAGCTTGGCTTCACTGAGCTTACAGGTAATCTACATTCAGAATTTCCCTCCTGTAATCCTCAAGATCTCCTTTAGCCAGAAGTGCATGTGAAAAATGACTGACAAATGAGTTTCATAGCTACAACACAATATGGAATATCTTCCCCTATCTCCCCATGAAACAATATGAGTCACAAAATGCAAATACATCGCAAAAAAGTTCAACAATAGGTAAAATGAAAAGAAAAACTGAAAGCATTGATTTATAACTAAATGTGTCTACATTCACCTCCATTTGAGCAAAAACTGTTCAAAGATATGTAATGCTGTACTTTATCAACTTCCTTGGATTTGGTAAACATATTCTCTTTCTGAAACTGACCCCTGCATTTTCCAGAAAGTTGGGACAGACACGAAACATTGTGAAATTTTCAAAAAACATTTTAGATGATGCAATCATGCTTGCGTATAAAAAGAGCAACGATGAAAGGCCTAGTCCTTTATGAGAAAGAATAGGTTGAGACTCCACACTTTAGAAAAAAAGCAACAGCAAAAAATTCAGCAGTTTAAGAACAACGTCCCACCATGAACAACTGTAAACATTTTAGGTATTTTACCCTCTACAGTGCATGTCATTATCGATATCGATTATTAAGGACAAGCCCAAAATAGCACGTGAAAAGAAATTCTGTGATAAAAGCGTACTGTGACCAGAGCTAGACGCTGCTCATCTGGCACAAGCCAGCTCGCCTCTGACACACTGCTATAGGCCTGGACAATTTCTATGAATATTTAGCAAAATATTGTCCAACTAAAAACAAAATCATGATTATCAATTAAATCACCCTCCCCCAAAAAACACATGCTTTATATATTAAAAAAAACACTGTTTTCCATTGTTATGCCCAAAACATACTTCACACAAGGACGCGAACGCAGACGCTTCGAGCTACGCAGATGGGGTTTCACACGTGGTTGCGCTCAAAATGTGTCAAGATGCATTTCATAAAGCGCGTAAAGTGACGCAAGCGCGAGCTGCATTCTGAGTGCTACAGCAGGGGGCGCTAAAACAGCCAAGCCTGACCAAGCGGTCTTGTACCGCTAGTGTGCTTCTCAACTGCCACAGTAGACGAGCAGTTCACTGCTGTCCATGTTTAGCTGTTGAGGTTGTTGGAATAACAGTAGTCAAGTCAACGTTTATTTATATAGAGCTTTTTATAGCAGGTGTTGTCACAAAGCAGCTTTACAGAAAAATCCGGGTCCGAGCCCCCATGAGCGTCGCCAATGGAAGGAAAAACTCCCTAAGAGCAAGAGGAAGAAACACTGAGAGGAACCAGGACTCAAAAGAGGAACCCATCCTCCTCTGGTCCACACCGGATAGCAAACAGCGTTAGTATACAATATTATAATACAAAACGGGGAAAAACAGGAGGAGCAATGGTTAATTAGATAGTTTGAGTTTATACAGCAGCATCAGGAGGGTCAGTTCATGAAGGTGAGGTTTGCACAGCGTTGTACAGCGTGAAACTCCACGGAGGTCAAAACGGTGCAGATCAGCCAACGGAGATGGAGCTCTGGTGACTCTAGCAGCTCTGGTGGCTCCCATGTGGCGACTCAGGCAGACGCCGCTCAGGGGCTCAAATAAAAGGAGAGCGAGAGAGAAACTGATTAACAGTAAACAGTAGATCCTTCTCTGATTTGTACTCTATCGCCCCCTTCAGTACTGAGTGTTTTAACCTCCACAGCAATGTAAGAATGTGTAAGTTTGTACAGAAGGACCGAGCGTTTGCAGTACGTTGGCTGAGCGCGGTCATTCACGTTCGCGTCCTTGCGTGAAGTATGTTTCAGGCCTTAGAGTGGAGTCGCTCTGGAAATCAGCTATAAATGCCTTTGGATTAGATTTTTCACAGTTTTCGTAATTTAACTAACCACCAGGACATGACAGCTGTTTGGAAACCACTGCAATTTTTTTAGATTGGGATTAGTGGAACTTTCCCGGCTTCTAAAACTTCCAGGGCTGGAGCTGCTCTACTTTAGGGTGAGAGGGTGATCTCTAAAGATCTCTGTTTCATGCCGTTGGCCACAGTGCTGCTACAATTGTCACCACATGCTATTTCGGACTAGATCTGTCACCAGACTGGACTGGATCAATTCTGGTTTTCCTCCCTCCGTATTCTGTTGATGTCAGTCCGATAGCATTACCTGGTACTAGATCACTGCTCTCTCTCAAACTTACTGTGGCCCAGAAAAGCAAATAAAACTACACAACAAGACCAATAAACATAGCTATCATCTAACAAAACTCGTCAAATTGGCCTAAATATTGAAGTAGAGGTCATTACGTGAATGTTCAATTCAACTTAAGTTGTAAATAATAATTAATAACCACGTCACATTTAGACGTAAAGTCTAGGTGTCAGTATTTCAGTCTGGTCCTCAGCTCTGGTGTTTTTACTCACTTGTTTAGTTCCGTCACAAGCTGTGTGGCCACATAATGTGGTCCAGGGAGGGAGGGATCGCTTTTTCAGCCTTATCTCTCAGTACAAGTTGCAAAATATGACAAATGTTTGCTTTGACAGCTGTCACCATGTGACAATGCGACAGTGATATTATGGGTTTAGTTGAGCTCCTCGTTGCCAATGAAAAGGCAATTAAAGTCTTAATGCAACAAAAACACTACAGCATGTGGACTATTTGAATACTGCGTCTCTCACAAAACAAAAGGAGACAATTTTGCTAGATACACAATGATACACACAAAAAATGCTCGATAAAGTTAGTATCTGCAGATAATTCAGCTTTCACAGGTTGAATTGGCTACACTCGGCTTCAGGTGTAAATATCTGAAGGACATAATCAGAACTGACTAAATACACAATGTAGCAAACACACAACAAACAAATGAGACTGATGTTTTGCAAAAAGCTGCACTAATTAAAAGTGAACTCTGTAACTACAGAACAATGTGGTGACCTAATAACCTGCTTTGCTATAAAGCTGAGGGGTTGAGTTGAGTTTGCGTTCCTCAAATTGTCAGACTGATATCTAGAAGAGAGAACCAAAGGACTATCAAACCTGGTCCTGGGTACCCAAAGCACCGTGTTTTGCACTTAGCAATCCTGCCCTGTGTTAGTGCTAGAGATGAAACGATATTAAAATTTCATATCACGATTATCATGACCAAAAATTATCACGATTATCGGTATTATCGCGATATTGGTCAAATGTGTTGAAAAGTAAAATAAATTTAAAAAATAATAAATACTGATACAACTTTTATATTAACACAAATAGAATTGGCAGCAATATGCACTTTTTGTTTGCATAAACATTAAAAAATAAGGTCAATACATTTTTAGTATTACTTTTGTATTACTTACAATACTTGTAATACTCTGCAAACAAAAGAATAGCAAATGTGTTATTATTACTGTTATTATTATTATTATTATTATTATTATTATTTATAACTAGGGATTTCCCTGCATAGAGAATTAAAGCTGGACCACTGACACCGTGACATTTCTCCTATTTCGAAGTCCACAGACGTTAAAGTTAACCTTGCATTCTTGCAGGCAGCGGGTGGTGGTCGCGAAGATGACTCATAAGGTTTGATGTGTTGCCCCCTTTCGCCGCTATTTTCTTTCAGCCTGTTCTGCAGACAGGGTGGTCATCTTCACTTTCCTTCTGCATCCTTATAAAACACAATATGACCAAACGTCAGACCTGGTCTTCATAGAAGGCTGAAATTTCTCCGAATCTCCGAGTTTTCACACCGCGGTAATCGACCGCGGTTTTAACGATACTTAGCACTGCTGTGTCTGATCCACTCAGACCAGCACAACACACACTAACACACCACCACCACGTCAGTGTTACTGGAGTGCTGAGAATGATCCACCACCCAAATAGTACCTGCTCTGTGAGGGTCCATGGGGGTCCTGACCACTGAAGAACAGGGTAAAAGGGGGCTAACAAAGTATCAGAGAAACAGATGGACTACAGTCTGTAACTGTAGAACTACAAAGTGCACCTATATAGTAAGTGGAGCTGATAAAATGGACAATGAGCATAGAAACAAGGAGGTGGTCATAATGTTATGCCTGATTGGTGTATGGTACTGAGTCATAATACAAGTTAGACATTATGATGTTCTGGACCTTTGCTTGAGGATATTTTCTCTAACTGGACCTTATTGAATTTTAATTAAAGACCCCTGGTTTAAAGAGACAGCTGAAAAATTTGTCTTGTTTATTCTCGCTATCCATAGATTTCTCCTTCGCTGGCTCAGCTCTTCGTCCCCTTTCCCTCATGATGCCAGACAGCCAGGACACTCTAAAAGCTTAATGTTGCTTATAAAAGTTTTGTTGCTGTTGTTATTACAGTCACGGACCTCGCAACACACTATGGCTATATTTTATCTGTCAAGACGCTTTATTAACGGTGTACAAACAGTGGCTCTAAGAGTGCTGCTGTCTCCACAGTCACTGTGTTGACTGGTGGTACCATAACAAGACGATATACAGCCTACAAAATTTTTGAGAATGCCACCTGAGGTATACTTCATGGTGTTTTGTCACTCAGAATATTCTGTGCTTGCATCTGACCCAAAGAAGATTCAAGAGAAACACCAACAGATGAAAGCAGTTACTACAAGTTATTTAAAAAGGGCAGTAAAATATAGAGTAACATATCATCGCTGACCAAAGAAAAACAAGTATCTGCAAAATAGTAACTTTACAGAAAAAGGCAAAAACACTCTCACCTTTCAATGGAAGTTAATGCAAAGAGAGTTTATTCAAAGTGATTTTAGAGCATTTCTATTGGTTCATTCATCATGAGATTTTCACACAACGTAAAGGACAGCTGGTGTGTGAAGTAGAAAAATAAAAATCGACAAAAATGGAGATACATGGATTTCTTTGGACTATATATGCTATTTCTACTTTCATCTGTTTAAGAGGATGTAAACTGAGTAAGGGTAGGGGTGGACAATATGACAAAAATATTATATCACAACATTTTGAGACATTTTAATGATAAACACTATGCATCATCATACTGAGTTTTTCTAAGATTTAATAAGTTGGAACTGACCAAATAGAACCTGTAGTGCCACATATGATATTATAATGATGATGATAATAATAATAATAATAATAATAATAATAATAATCCTAAAACTAATTATTTTTATTCGATGTTTTACAAACTGCACTAAATCCAATTAAACAGGCCTAACTGTGCTCACTTTGTGTGAAACATGTAGTTAGTCAGTCTTCTTTAAGTACTGACAACATTCATATGCTCAGAAAAGCGTACTGTGACATAATTTATTACAATAACAATAAAATATCGCCATACTGCCCATCCTTAGTGCAGGATGTAAAATGCACCTGCTTCTGGATTGCAGGACAGCATTTCATTACAAACAAATAGTTCTGTCAGACACATATTACAACATTCACATCAATGTTTTGCTTGCCAGCTTCTCATCCACATCAACAGTACTTTCTCTATTAATTTCTGCGTTTGCCAACTTCTTTCTGATGAAGTGACACAGCAGCCTTGGTTGACGGCCTCGTTTTGCATTATGAAGTACAAACAAGGGGCCTTCATAGAACAGGACCGCCCCATTCTTGGCTGAAGCCTAGATTTTGGAAAGCAGCTTATATAGTGCACTATTTCGCTAATAGGGAGCGAATCTGGAGGCAGCTTGAGTCTCGGCTTTACACCAAACGAGTTTTCAAGCGATTTCACTGTCGCAGACAAATATCCAGTGTCGGAATAAAATCATGAGAGTCTTGCTGGAGTCGCATCGCGTTATCTCGTTCGTTTAGTGTGAGGCGGTCAGGATGGCCGTCTTTTTCTCATCTTGACGCTGCGACAAAATCAACCATGTTTAATATTATTGTATCTCTGTAAAAAAAAAAAGGCTGCTCCACTTTAATACAATGATCATATTAACTTAAAATGTAAACTTGCTGTTTCAATATTTCAGGAGTGTAACAGTGATGCAAGGAAATGTGAAGGACTTTAGAAACAGCATCATTGAAGAATCATCAATTTTTTTTCCCTTTTTTTTGCTTTGTTCATGTTTTTTTTTGTTTAATTCATAACACCCAAATCAACAATGCTGAATCGCTGCATGTTTTATTCATGTGTAAATCTTAGTCAAATTAAAAATGTAACTGCACATTTTACAGGTTAATTAAAGATTCTGGGTGATGATCTGCCAGAATATACAGTTCTACAGTGAACTGGGCTGAGCCCCAGATCTTTACATGCTCAGCCGACATATCTTCCCATCTGTACCACTACAGAGTGGAAGGAAAAGTGTTTTTCTGCTTGTAAATTCCCAGATGATGGTGCATGATGGGACATAATCTTAAAAATCTAGTTGCATTCTTGTAAATAGTGACACTGCAAGATTTACAGTCTTTGCAAAATCATAGTCTGTGACTAAAAATTCTGACATTGTCTTTAGGTGTCGGACTTTAGTCTTTCAAAAGTCTTTTCAAAGTCTTCTAGTGTACGGTTAGAATAACACTCAGCATTTCTAAAACTCAGAACTTTAATACGTACTATACGTAGAGCTGCATTGGGAATCACTCCCTATTTAGGCAGTAGAACCCAAGAGGGAGTGTTATTGCGAAATAACATCACGGCTGTGATTTGGTCGCCGTAGATCATCACAGCCGTGATGTTATTGGCGATAACACACTCCTCGAGTGTTCTATTGCTTTTATACAACAGTTAAATAAATAAAGTAATAAATTAATAAACTGGGCCGTGAACGCGGCGTTTAATGTTCTTATGTTCGCAGTTCCTTCACCAAATTATAGTTCCTTAACAAGCAGCTTGTTGTTACGTCAGAGTAACGTTTTATGGCTCAGTCTGATTTGGTCAGACTCTGAAGATCAGACTACACGTTTGGCAAATGGTATTGGGTTCATTTCTGGCTGATTCCAGGTTGTGCAGCTGTTCTTCTGTCACAGCTGCCGACTGATGCTCAGTGGTGATGACAGTTTGGGAATTTAGTGTCGTCTCATCTTCAGAGTCTGACCAAATCGGCTGTCGGTCAAATGTGATCTTAAAAGTGTCCGTTTTCTGTTTGTGGCAAAGTAAGAAGCAAAAACGTTCAAATGTCTTGAGCGTCTCCTACAGCTGTCAAAGTCGTTGCTTAGCAACAGCGTCTCAGCGGAGTGATACAGCCTTTGTGAAAAACCTGTGATGTTATGGTGAAATAACAGCACAGTCAGAACGCTGCTCAACCAATCAGCTCGCACTGTTGTGTAAGAGCAAAATAGTGCAGCCATCAGCCACGCAGTGTGTCAGCCACTGTGCAGAGCTCAGTCTTTGGGTCAGCCCATGGTCATCCTCACTCAGTTCACTGTCAAACGCAGCGCCACACATTCTGTCAATGAGCAATTCCAGCAATTTATCAAGGTCACATGGTTATAAAAGATAACTGAGAACTCTGATGCCTATCATTCCTCTTCGTTCAGGACTAGACTCTGCATGTCACCTGTGGACACCTCTGCCATTTTGGAAATTGCGCAAACTTCCACCAAACACCACATAAACTGCATTTATTCCAAGAGAGAACAGAAGACTGTCTGCGCCAAGAACGTACAACCTATCGCCTTAGCTGTGACATGACATAACGCCCCGATACGAAAACAAGGCTCGTTGGTTACACCGCTTTTCAGGCAACCCCGCACGCCGCTCACAGGACCCAAAGTTCGGCTCACTAACTTCTAGCTAGCTCCCCGGGAATTAAGTATAAATGCACGAACCACTAACGGCTAAACATTATAAATATAGACACCTTTTACCGGGTCTGAGGCTTTTCAGTAACGCAGTAAACAAGCTTCAGAAGATAGGTTAGGTTAGCTGGTCGGCTAACCCGGCAAATTTCCCCCAGATAGCCAAGTTAGCTAACCTAGCTAACAACTAGCTCGCTCTGCTACCGACCATACGGGTGGTCAGACTACATTCCTGACAGGACACAGGGTCGGGACGCTTGACGCTACCGAATCTTCTTCTCTGCCCTCTACCCGTCCGGTCGTCAAGAACGTATTCACAGCACACCACCGAACTCACTCTGTTGCTGGTGTGTTAGCAGCTAAGCTAACCAGCCAGTCTCTGTAGCCCGGCTCGCGCGTCTGCCCTTGTAGCTGTTAGCATAGCGAGGCTGAGACTGGCCGCTTACCTGATACGCGCTCCGCTGCCTCCCTTTACCGCCACCAGCGCCGGTCCTCCCGGTTCTGTTATCACAGCTCCGAACGTGATACGAGCTGCCCTGCTGGAGCAGAACGGCTAACCTGCGTTTCTGGACGTGGAGTCCACACCGCAACGGGACCAAGAGCGGCGCCATGATGAGTTCACAGTCATGCGTGAACGCGGGGAAGTTTGCCGGGACTTTGGCCGCTGTCCAATATCAGCGCGCTTAGCTAAGCTACTTAACCCTATGTTGTATCCAGAACGCTTCGGTGCGCAAACGTCCACGCAGAAACTGGGAAAACATTCCTCAGCCCGAAAGGAAAAGTTCGTGAACGAGCTTTAACGTTAAGTCGGCTTGAAAAAGCCAGCTAAAAACAATAAAACGTTAAAATGGTGGGAGACTGTTGATGGTTGTTAAAACGCTGCTTAGCGTTCCACCTTAAATTCTGTGCCACCTTTAATTTAGCGCTACCTTAAAAGCAGTTCCACCTTAATTTTAGTGTTAAATTCACTGCCACCTTAAATGCACTTCCACCTTAAATAAAGTTCCACCTTAAATTCGGTGCTACCTTCATTTTAGTGCTACCTTAAAGAGAGTTCCACCTTGAATTCTGTGCCACCTTAAATTTAGTGCTATGTTAATTGCGGTTCCACCTTAATTTTAGTGTTAAATTCACTGCCACCTTAAATGCAGTTCCACCTTAAATTCTGTTCTACCTTCATTTAATGCTACCTTAAAGAGAGTTCCACCTCGAATTCTGTGCCACCTTAAATGTAGTGCTATGCGTATTGCGGTTCCACCTTAAATTTAATACTGTTTTAATTGAAGTTCCACCTTAAATTTAGTGCAAACAGTTCCACCTTTAATTCTGTGCCACCTTACATTTAGTGCTATGTTAATTAAAGTTCTGCCTTAAAATTAATCCTATGTTAATTGAAGTTCCACCTTAAATTCAGTACTTCCTTAAAAGCAGTTCCAATTTAAATTCATTATTTGTGCTGATACTGCTGTGCATTAGGCTGTGTGTGTGTGAGTCTGTGTGTACTGCGTGTGAGTGTGTGTGTGTGAGATGTTCGTTGTGACATCACTGGTGGCAGTTAGTTTGAATGTCCCGAAGATTACGCCCATTCATTCCCTATGGGAAAAATATCGTCTTTGAACGATAATTTTACGAAAACTGACTTCGACTTTCAAACCAACTTAATAATATATGAATATATATAAACCGCTATACTACTATTCTATACTTACTATACAGATGAATGGACTTCTAATGATGACATATTAAGTAATACGGTAGCTTGTGTTTCTGGTTTGGGACGCAGCAAATGTCTCTGGCCTCGTATTCGTAACTATTTCATATAATAACTTGCTATGAAGGAGCTTTTAAAGGCATTAGTCTCCTCAGACGTCTGGTTCCTATCACCACCCAGTTCCTACTCTGTACGTTTCTCTAGAACTGAACGTTTCACACCAAACCACTCTGAATGACTTTGTTTACTTCTAAAACACTGAATTATCCTGAAATTTTGAAAAAGTCAGCCAGATTCTTTTTTTAACTGACTACTGGAGAATTAAATGATTGTTTATTTAAACAGTGCCCAAAGGCCAGGAGGTATTTCATTAAACAGGATTTCGCAGTTTTGCCAGTTTACTTAAACCCAAGGTCAAGCTTGTCCAATAGGAAAAGAGCTGAGGGACATTTCTATTGGACAGTCCTCATCTTTGGGCTTAAGTTGTCTCGCTAACAGCGAAATCCAGCTGTGTGGGTATAAATTTGCATCAGAATTATATAATCCATCAGACCAACGAATATGAAACTCATACTATTTTATCTTTTGTTTGATTAAAATCTTAATACACGTTTTGCGAAATACACGTATTCAGTAATAATACGACGGTGTTTTAGGGCCGCTGTTAATAAAAAATAAAAATAGTGGACTTTGAGAACAAAGTCGTGCTATTTCGAGAAAAAAGTTGTAATATTTTGAGAAAAAAGTCATAATATTTCAAGAAAAAAGTCGTAATTTTGAGAAAAAAGTCGTAATATTTCGAGAAAAAATGTCGTACTATTTTGAAAAAAAAGTCGTAATATTCGAGAAAAAAGCCAGAATATTTTGAGAAAAAAGTCATAATATTGTGGCCAAAGGCTTTGCGAAGTGAAGCAGCCCCTCCTCGTGTTAAATGAGGGGCGGTGAGTTGGTGGAGTTCTACTTTCATATCGATTCACCCATAAAGAAACACTCAGTCTCCCTGTCTCTCCTGCACATCAGCACCAGCCTGTTATTAGTATAAGAACCGGCTGAAACGGAGCAGGAAACTGTGTTTATCTGGAATAAAGAGCCAGACGGACTCGGAGGAAACTGTCTGTCTGTGTTGTTGAAGGAGAATCGCAGGCAGGGTCGTCTACACGGCTATCGGGGGCTCCATCTCCCCCCATTCAAAGAGGGCATGAAGTTTCACAGACAGAGAAAATGATGATCAGAATGATCCACAGAGAGACAGGAGTGAGTGGAGCTCCGGCACCAGTACAGCAACCGAGACCCCAACGCGTTATGGCAGCCCCCCTACAGTACAGCAACCGAGACCCCAACGCGTTATGGCAGCCCCCCTACAGTACAGCAACCGAGACCCCAACACGTTATGGCAGCCCCTCTATAGTACAGCAACCGAGACCCCAACGCGTTATGGCAGCCCCCCTACAGTACAGCAACCGAGACCCCAACGCGTTATGGCAGCCCCCCTACAGTACAGCAACCGAGACCCCAACGCGTTATGGCAGCCCCCCTACAGGACAGCAACCGAGACCCCAAAGCGTTATGGCAGCCCCCCTACAGGACAGCAACCGAGACCCCAAAGCGTTATGGCAGCCCCCCTACAGTACAGCAACCGAGACCCCAAAGCGTTATGGCAGCCCCCCTACAGTACAGCAACCGAGACCCCAAAGCGTTATGGCAGCCCCCCTACAGTACAGCAACCGAGACCCCAAAGCGTTATGGCAGCCCCCCTACAGGACAGCAACCGAGACCCCAAAGCGTTATGGCAGCCCCCCTACAGGACAGCAACCGAGACCCCAAAGCGTTATGGCAGCCCCCCTACAGTACAGCAACCGAGACCCCAAAGCGTTATGGCAGCCCCCCTACAGTTAACCCACTTTATCCTCGAAATACTGCGACTTTTTTCTCGAAATAGTGCGACTTTTTCTCGAATAGTATGACTTTTTTCTCAAAATAGGGCAACTTTTTCTCGAAATAGTACGACTTTTTCTCGAAATAGTGTGACTTTTTCTCGAAATAGTACGACTTTTTCTCGAAATAGTGCGACTTTTTCCTCGAAATAGTGTGACTTTTTCTCGAAATAGTACGACTTTTTCTCGAAATAGTGTGACTTTTTCTCGAAATAGTGTGACTTTTTCCTCGAAATAGTGTGACTTTTTCTCGAAATAGTGTGACTTTTTCTCGAAATAGTGCGACTTTTTCTCGAAATAGTGTGACTTTTTTCTCGAAATAGTGTGACTTTTTTCTCGAAATAGTGCGACTTTTTCTCGAAATAGTGTGACTTTTTTATCGAAATAGTACGATATTTTCTATTTTTATTTTTATTAACAGTGGCCCTAAAACGCCGTCGTAGTAATGCAAATTGTAAATCATGATGTTTTTCGCAACGTTTTATTATTATTATTATTATTATTATTATTATTATTAGTCCGCGTCTCCTCGCTGTTTTTGGAGGTCCAGTGTAATGCGTTAGAGTACCACAGACTGCACCCATCTGCGCATACTGCTGATCCGAGACTCTGCACAAAGTCTGCGTTCGTGGAGCGCACAGACGCAGCTCGTGACAGTGTGACTGTTAGATCAACAGGCTATTCGCCTCCACTTAAAAAAAAAAACATACATTATTTTACAAGTATAAATGTATCGGATGTTACCAATGTTTAGAAATAATCCAACAATAAATTACAAATAAAAGTTCACACAGACACTCTGAGCAGAGGCACGTTGAGCGCTGGATGTGACGTTTTTGTTGTTAGTGAAAGTGAACTCACTCACGCGCTCCCCACGCTGCCATGTGCTGGCTGTGAGAGACACGCTGCACGTTCAGGCCTCGACCCTCTGAGTGTAGTGTGTTCACTATCACACTGTCGTGGACAACTTTTTAAAAGGACAACATCGCACTGGCCGCAGGTCCGCAGAGTAAACATGCCTTGCCCGAACCAGCAGGTGACCCGCAGCAGCAGCGTCCACCCTGACCATGCCGCTATGAAGCAGGTCCGCTTTGTGAGTGGCAACAACTCGGACAGCGATTCCCAGGAGAAACCGTGCGGAACCCCAGAAAACGGCCACTTACACATCGAGCTGGGGCCTCAGCTGAAGCTCTTACCCCTAAATGACCAAGTCCGAGAACTACAGACTATAATCAGGGACAAGTGAGGAGGCCAGATTGTGTCCTAAATCCGCATTGTATGTTGTCGAACATAAAGGCATGCTGTGTTAGTCTAATACGTTTCATATGTGTCCCATAGGACCACGAGTAGAGGGGATTTCGTGTTCTGTGCTGATAGACTGGTAAGAGGTTTTTGCCTAGTAACGCAGTTCATTGCAGAGAAGCTCCCTTAAAGGGCAATGTCACCGATTTTCCAAAATTGCTGCATTTTTCGATCAGTGAGTTGTAAACAAAGTCATTCAGAGTGGTCTTATGTGAAATGGTGGTGATAGAAACCTGGGGTCACAGTGTCTACAATGCTAGCCATTTTATTTACTATCCAAAATGACCTGCAAGTGTCCTCTGAGTCCTTATGTGTAATGTTGGTAATGGTAACCTAGAATAAATCTAAAAAATACCTTTTTGTTTGGGCACTAATTTGCCTTATAACACTATGCACAAATCTTTCCATCTTGGCTTTTGAAAAACACAATTTAGGTCAAAACCATTTCCTTAGCTCGTAACCATTTCCTGTAATAACTTCCTGTGAGGTCGCTTTTACACTCTCAGAAATAAAGGTGCTAAACTGTCACTGGGTCAGCGCTCCTCTTGTCACTGGGGTGGAACCCTCAAGGGTTCATCTCAGTACCTTTAGTCAGGGAACATAACTGAACCATAATCCACTGAAATGATATGTTCTAAGCTGTACTGACTCCACACACCCCGTCTTGTCTCCAGGCTTTTATTTTACTGTTCTGTTTTAAACATTCGGTTATGAAAAGGTACAAATACGAACTTTTCACCTGGGAAAACTTATTTAAGGTTCACAATCAGACCTTAAAACCACTGTTGGAGCTTTGAGCGAACATTTACACTGTTTGTACCTTGATGAACGAAAAATGTACCTGAACAGAACCTTTAATTCTAACAGTGTAGAGACATTAAACTCTTTGGACGTCTGGTTCCTATCACCACCACTGTGAACAATTCTGACTCTGTAAGTTTCTCTAGAACAGAGTATTTCTCACTGAACCTCTAATATTACTTTGTTTATATCTTTTTGATTTAATTATGCAGAAGTTTGAAAAGTTGGTGAAATTCCCCTTTGGCTAATTACTGTTCTTTTGCATCAGAATCATATGTGAGCGAATCCATCAGACCAACTCACTACTCTTAATGTGTTTACAGATTCGGCTGGTGGTTGAAGAAGGGCTAAACCAGTTGCCTTATACTGAATGTGTTGTGACCACACCAACAGGTGAGTATGTTGACTTCGTAGTTGACTGACCATTTCCTCAGGAAAGCGTGCAGCTCCATGATCTCGATGAATTGGAGCGAGTTAGACCTCCTGCAGCAGGGCTGTCCAAGGTAAATCTGCATAGAGGTCTGTTGCATTTCATTGACAGTCCTCCAGAATGCCTTCAAAACCTCCTCAGGTCAAGTTAAAGGGGAAACATTACTTCGGAGGCAGGTCTGTTCCCACCGTAGATTTAATATAGCTACAATGCACAGTATAAACACTGTTTGAATGCCAAAAATGCTTGAAGACTGTTCTAAGATGTTCTAGGTCGCAAATTAATGATGCGAAATGTCGCGGATGGCTCCTGAAACCTTTAGAAGTGTAAATAAACAGGAGGCAGGGCCTAGTTCCCACTAGACATTTACAGATGCAAAGTCCTGCTGATGTACCCCACCCTGAGTAGGTACTGAATGATCAGCTGTTTTCAGGGAGCATCTGAAAAGATAACATAACATAATCCTTTTTTAGTCCCTCAACAGGGAAATTCTCAGTGTTACAGCGGCAAAGGGAGAGCAGGACACTCAAAAAAAAGAAAAGAAGTAACAAGAAGAGAATTAACAAGCGAGTAATGAACCTTGTTAATTACTGAACAAGGTTTTTACAGTTTATTACTTGTTGCTTTATAGACAATATATATAATACTAAAAGTAAAAAATAAGATAAAAATATAAACTCTATCCTTCACATAAATTAATAATATAAAGGATTATAAATAAATATAAGCTAAAATATTTACACTGTAAAGATGTTTTACCTGAATTTCTCAAAGTTTTGCACAGAAGGTACTGATTTATGTTACCCATGGGATGGGAGGCAGCAGGCACAGCAGCAGAACATACAATAAACATTTTCCACTAGCAAAGAGAGTTCTGTATAGTACCGAAAGAGTTCTTTGGTTTGTAACAATACTGGAACCCTTTGTGGTGCTATATAGAACCCTTTTCAGAAAGGGTTCTATATAAAACCATCTACAGCACGTTCTTCATCAGTCTGAAAAACACTTTCACCATGCAAAGGGTTCTTTGAGAATAATCTTTTTTAAGAGTGTACGCCAAAAGCAGTCATGCAGGTGTCCCCTCTATAGTGTCCAGAGGATTCGACCCTTTCTCTCTAGGGAGGCCACCCTTTCACTGGCTTTCTGTAGCTGCCCACTTCAGATTTAAAACCTTGATGCTTGCCTATAAAGCCAAATATGGACCAACCCCTCCCTACATTATGGCAGTGGTCAACACTCAGTCTATATCTGGAGCCCTTCAAGCCTCTTCTCTGTCCTGGCATCCAGGTGGTGGAACGAGCTTCCACTGGCTGTCTGACTCCCTCACAGTCTTCACATGCGAACTGAAGACCCGTCTCATTATGAATCACTTAAGCGAGCACTAATCTAAGCACTTACTGAACTGCATTGTATTGCATTTATGCTATGTCTTAACTCTGTATTGTTATTTGTAGATATCAGCACTGGCTTTTGTTTCTGGCAGTATTTTTGTAGCTCAAAGATTATTTGGACTCTAATCTATTTGTACTGGCTAGGATACATCCTCAGAGTGGACAGCAAAGGGCTTTTGTAAATCTAAATATCATATGTTGAGCATCAAAGTCACATCAGTTGTTCATGAATAACCCGCTTCCATCTTCTTGTCTTCCAGGATACAAGTATGAAGGTGTCAGGTTTGAAAGAGGCAACTGTGGTGTCAGCATAATGAGGAGTGGTCAGTCAAATAGCCTTGCGTTTAACATTTCCAGCACATCACAAATGATATACACACATTAAAGTGACGTTCCTTGAGTTGAAGTCTGACGTTTACCAAGATGGTACTTTTGTGTCGCCCGTAACCAGGTGAGGCGATGGAGCAGGGCCTGAGAGATTGCTGCCGATCCATTCGCATTGGCAAGATTCTTATACAGAGCGACGAAGAGACTCTGAAAGCCAAAGTGTACTACGCAAAGTTCCCACCTGACATTTACAGACGCAAAGTTCTGCTGATGTACCCCATCCTGAGTAAGTACTGAATGATCAGCTGTTTTCAGGGAGCATCTGAAAAGAGACGCATTTCACAAAAGGTGTTACAAACAACTTCAAAACGTACCATTCGACCGTACAGTCCATTTAGGGAAACGATTTTGGAAACCAGTATGAATTCACTGTTTTTTTAATGCTGTGAACCCCAACACATTTACACACATCTACCTTTTCAGCCAACAGCAGTTTAGCGCCACCTACTCACACTCAAGTTACAAGGACTTATAAGGTTTTAGCCTGGACTGCTTTCTCAATGAGGCACAAACAGGACAGCCAATCAGAACAGGCATCATTTACATACAACCATATCACTGTTGTCGGAAGAAAACCTTGTATCTCCATTTTTGTCATTTTTCAGTTTGTGGCATAATTTGAAAATGCCTGTTCTTTACATTGTGCATAAATTTTATGATGAATGGACTGAAAGAAACGACCCAAAATGACTTGGAAAAAATTCTGGTTCCATTGACTTACATTAAAAGTAAAGTATGTTTTTTCCTTCTCCTGTAAAGTTACCATTTTGGAGATACGAGGTTTTTTTTCGAAAACAGCGATATGTAAACGTTTGGATACCCCTGATCAGAACAAGATTTTTTATTTTCTTAGTGAAAATAAGTTACCAAATCCACTGCAGTAAACAAACTTAAATATGGCATTTTGCTGTAAATCTTAGTGTATAATTTTAACATTTTGGGAAAAAATAAAACAACATGTTAAATGTGCCATAAATTTTGCACAGGCCACATTTTAATTTTTTTTTTCCAGTATGTTCAGCAAATAAACAGTAATTTTACATGAAAATGCGCAGAAGTGTGTTCACTTATTTTTATGTAGAAAATCAAGAAAACATCATTTCACCAGGGGCGCCCAAACTTTTTCGTGTGATTCTATATCAGTCTTAAAGGTACAGTAATAAGAAAAAAGGGTGGAAAATGATCATAGAACAATGAATATTTTGGGTAAATAAAATCACAGAAAGGTTATAAGTCGACTTTAGGGAGAAAGAAAATATAAGACGTGTAAAATCTTTAAAGATGACACAAAATAAATAATTTTAAAAGTAAACAGTTTTTTAGACATTTTATAATATCTATACTCTTATCCAATAGACCATGGCTCTACCAACAAATTGCTATTCCTTCACCTTGGCCTCGTAAAACATATACGGAGTAGCATGATAGCTAAAGTCAGCTCTGTAATTATTAGCATCCTTAGTAAAGTTAAGTAGAAAAAAGTTAAAATTAAATATTAAATTAACTACCTCACACACTGCTTCAAAGTTCCTGTAGCATCTAGCAAAATCCAGACACTTATGATTGTGATTAATAAAAGAAAAGGCTTTCTTGTGGCACACCTTCCACATTGTCACCCCCATAAATATACCATTATCTGCAAATCTGTGATCCTGGGGGAAATTATCCCCTCTCTTAATAAAAATACATTATACGTATATGGCGCTTTTCGAGAACACAAAGACGCTTACAGGTTTTTAAAATACAGAACAGTAAAGACAAACATGAGAACATGAAGCACAGTCATAACATCACAAGCAAAACGTAGCAGGACTTGGCAAAGGGCTGGTTTAGGATTGAGAACAGTTCTAAGCAATAGAAAAGAGAGAGGTTTTAAGTTTAGATTTAAAAGTGGAGACAGAGTTGGCCTGTTGAATATGTGAGGGAAGAGAGTTCCAGAGTCGGGGAGCCAGCCTAGAGAAAGCACGATCACCGTACCCATGAAGTTTGGAAGGTGGGACAGTGAGTAAACCAGCAGAGGAAGACCTGAGAGTGCGAGTTGGTTAGTAGGGATAAGTAGATCAGAGAGGTAAGAAGGACTGAGGTTATGCAGAGCTCTGTCTGTGAGGAGAAGAATTTTGAATTGTATGCGGTATTTTACAGGAAGCCAGTGGAGACGTTGCAGGACGGGTGCAATGTGCTGATTTGCACGGGTGCGGGTGAGGAGGCGAGCAGCAGAGTTCTGCACCATCTGGAGTTTGCATAAATGGGAGGAGTTAATACCAGCAAGTAGAGAGTTACAATAGTCCAGGCGACTAGAAATGAATGCATGAATAAGTTTCTGCAGCAGACTGAGAGAGTGACGGTCGAATTTTTTGCAATGTTACGGAGAAAAAAGAGGTTTTAACTACAGAGTTGATGTGTGCACTGAATGAGAGAGTTGAGTCAAAGAGAACGCCCAAATTTCGTACCAGAGGCGAAGGGGACAGAGTTACACTGTTGATGGAAAGAGAGAAAGGAGAAGTTTTGGAGAAAGTTGATTTGGATCCTATAAGAATAAGTTCTGTTTTGTCACTATTTAACATGAGAAAGTTGTGCTTCATCCATGTTTTAATTTCTGTTATGCAGTGTTCAACCTGGGTGAGGGGTGGATTTTTAATAGAGTGCTAATGTAAATATGTGTGTCATCCGCATAACAGTGAAAGTTCAGCTTGAAACTACATATTATGTGGCCAAGAGGAAGCATGTACACAATAAACAAAAGAGGTCCAAGGACTGAGCCTTGAGGGACCCCCTGAGTAACCACAGACGTGTGAGAAGTATGGCCACCGAGGGTGACAAACTGTTTTCTGTCAGTCAGATATGACTTAAACCACTCCAAGACAGTGATCATGCAGCCTTGATAGGAGGATTGAGTGGCTCACCATATCAAAGGCTGCACTCAAGTCAAGTAGTAGAAGGATGCTAAGGGCACCAATATCGGCAGACACCAGGAGGTCATTAGTGACCTTTATTAAGGCAGTTTCTGTGCTATGAGAGGGACGAAATACGGACTGGAATGGTTCAAAGAGGCAGTTAGCTGATGAGTAATACTGAAGTTGGCTAGCCACAGTTCGTTCAAGTACTTTGGACAGGGGAGGTGGTTAGAAATGGGGCGGTAGTTACTGAGTTCTAGTGGATCAAGGCCAGGTTTTTTAATTATGGGTGTGATGGCAGCAGTCTTGTAAGCAGAGGGTACCTGTCCATAGAGAAGCGAGTTATTGACAAGAATTGTGAGATGAGGGACCAGGGCAGAAGCTTTAGTTAAGGTTGTTGGAAGGGGATCAAGAGAACAAGTTGTAGTTTTAGAAGTAGTTATGATGTTTATAATGGAAGAAGAATCAACAGTGTTAAAGGTAGAGAGATTGGGGGGGGGCTGGGGCTTATAGAGTGAACAGTCAGGGAGGAAAGGGAAGAGGTATTATTAGTAGGGGACAGCAGAAAGAGCTAACCCTCTCTTGTTATCCTCCTCACTGTGTAGGTGAAATACATTTGCGTCCTCTTCCAGGCAGCTTCACTACAGCTCTGATTGTTTTAAACGTCATAATTAAGTGGAAAAGGTCTTTTTCAGGCATGTAGACATTTTTTTAAGGCATTGCCTGATTTATGAAGGTCAACACAGTTTTGCCTCATTTCATTTGTGTTTTCTCTAATCTAATGTTGATGACTAAGGGAATTTGGCCAGTGAGTCACCTCATATTTATAACCCAGTTGAAACAGGAAGTTAGGGATGACCGCCGGAGAGTTCCAGAACACTCATGTGAACTTAAAGTGAAATATAAACAGGAACAGTAACTTTATGTTCCTGTGCATTTCTAGGGGAGCCAATAATTGTGGCACATGTGGACAGATTCTGTCTTTCCTTCTCAATATTTTTGGTGAGAACTGAGCTAATTAACCATGAAAATATTTTTTCATGACTTTTTTAACCTAGAATTTTTGGGAATTTTTTGGCATTTTGGGTCAATTCCAATTCCAATTATAAAGTATTTACATGTGACTCACACATGCCATTTGTTGTTATTTTCAGGAGACCCTGGGCTGCTCAGATATATTATTTGATGTAAATCCAAACAGAAATTTGATATCTTTATGAATTTGGGTCATTTTTGATCAAAGATTTACCCAGCACCTGCAAAATTTTGTAATTTTTCTGCTCATAAAGATCTTGAAAACAAGTTGCACCCCAGATACCTTTTCAGAAATTGTTAGTCTGGAGTGTCTGTGAGCTGAAAGTGCAATGAGTTTGATGGTGATTCATTCTGTTGATTATTATGAGCAAAAATAAACAATTATCATAAGGTGGACATGTTTTTTTTTTATTGATATTCTGCCCTCTTGGATTCATGCTGAGTGCTAAAACTCTGATACAGAGCAAGACCGGCTTTATTTTTAATCACAAATTGAGTTGCAAATTTGATATCAGATATTTTCATACTCAAATCAATGTAAATTTAAAGACAGAGCTAGGTGTAATTAATTTTATAATAATATTTGTCATATGTAATATAACAGTAGTGACTGGGTTTTGGGTGATTTTGGAGCTGGACCTCTGGCTGATGGACGGTCACAGGTGGATGAAATCACGCTGGATGGTGAGGTCAGAGTCTGATGAGTGATCTGATTGTGAATCATGTCACTGTTTTAACCCTTTTTTGGAATATTAAGGCCAAAAAGCAGAATTACTCACTGATGCTGACATCACAGCTTGATGACCTCATGCTTGCTAGTTAGCGGCGGGTCTGCTGAATGTCCTGATATGTAGATCATGTTTGTACCTTAAACCGTCCTGAAGTTACGAGGGCTAGAAGTGACCTAGAGTTTTGCCTGCAAAACCCAAAATAGGGTTAAACCTCTCTTTATCAAAGGTGCCAATGAATATGGAGCTAACTGTACCCATGAAATCTAACAAACGGCAGATGTGCTGAGAACGATCTGCCACCATATCTGGTCAGTGGTGGTCTTATGGTGGTCCCTTTCCATAGATGGAGTGGGAGATGGGCTCCAGTCAGTAATTGTACACCTACAGAATGCACTTATTGTTAGCTGTACTTGATCAAACGGCCAATAAGTGAAGGTACGAGGTAGACACATCCAGTGAACTAGTAGCTCTGGGGAGATCTTTCTCTTTTTCTGGAACAGCGGCTCTGAGTACAAGGTTTATGCAGCAGCTCTGTTAATCCAGCTGTGCTCCAGTTGTGTCCACAGTGAATAGGATTCGTAGACAATTCATCACCGTCAGTGTCATCTCTAATATTTTGTCAATCACATCCTGACGTGTGCACCTGTAACTCCTTTGCAGCCTGCTGTTAGACATGTAAAATCAAAGACCCCCCCCCCACCTTACTGCTCTGTTCTAGCTGACCTTTGCGTCTTGTCCCACGTTTCCAGCTCATTCAGCCAGCGTTCAGCCGCAGAGGGTAATTATAGCTCTCGCGAGGAAATTATACAGCGCCTGCCAGTTAGCCACCAAGTGCTGAATAGCACGAGGATGGGGCCCTGAAAATAGCGTGGTAATGGGTGGTTTACGCCCGCCGTTAATACACTTAACCATTGTGCGCTGGTCGAAGCTGAACAGCACTGTACATTAATGTCTTTATCAGCGCCCCTTAAAAACATTCATTCATTCTGAAGGGAGGGTGGAGGAGGTCAGGACCGTCCTATGATGTGTTTACCTTGCACTCATTGTCCTTGTGTTTCTGTGATCAAATTAATGTGGAGGTGACTCTGTGTTTAAGAGGGAAGGCACTGAGTGTTTGGACTGTACTGTTGTATTCATTTGGGGGTCAGAATGGCACCGACCTCATGCCCAGTTAGAAGATGCTGGAAATCTGATCTGATTCTGTAACAAATCTAGCTTGAAATATTATAGAATTGCTTGTTGTGCATCATTCTTAGTGCATTATGTGGCGATAGTAGCCATATGTTATGTAGTAACACATTAATTAAGCAACAGTGAGTAGCTGTCTGAACATTATGCTACAAGCACCTTCAGGCTGATTTACACACATTTGGTCTTTCATTTTTTTAGTTGAAAGATTTTAAATGTCATGTTGTTGGCTAAAAGTCAGATACTACCCTTAATTTATTTATTTTTATTTTTTTTAGCATCTTGAAAACATGAGTTTAACAGAAAATTACACAGAAATGATATAATATAAATATAATTTTAATACAATAAACATTTATTTATTTATATTTATTTTTATTTATATTTATTTATTTATTACAGCTTTCATTCTTCCTGGCAGACTTGCTTTCCGTTTTTCCAAGAAATCTGCAGGGATATTGTTCCTCCTATTCCTTCTATTTTTCTCCTCCAAAGTTGAGTCTTAGAAGTTGGTTGGATTTTTTTTTACCTGTCCAAGTAATCCCATGCCACTGCTGTAGCTCTGTAGAACTTTATTCACAGTAAAGGAATTAAACTACAAGGTTAACATTACTAACAAAGGGGCACAGATTATAAATAAATAATACTACTGTTAAACTAAATACGTAATATGGAATATCATGATTTCTCTCCATCTTAAATATTGACCTACAGGTAGTGGAAACACAGTCATTGAAGCGGTCAGGGTACTGATTGATCATGGTGTCCAGCCTTCACACATCATCCTCCTCAGCCTTTTCTCCACTCCTCATGGTAAGACAGTGTCAGTGTGGATGTGAAAATCTGCAGTTCATTTCAAATCACTTGATTTCACAAAACGTTCCCGGTTGATCATCTCAGATTTGCTTCATTCTTTCAAAGTGTTGTTATTGTGCTATAGATATACATGCCTAGATGCCGCGTTGGGTCCAGCCAGGCACGTCAACGGTGCCGCCATTTTGGGGAGGTCAACATCGCTGCTGGACTGTAGTCAGTACCATTACAGAGCAGCAGTTTAAGAAAGATACTGTCCAAAATTACACTATTTCAGGAATATCACACTCAGAAAGTGGGATAGGATTATATAATGGAGGGAACGCAGTGATCCACACTCATGTCTGTGTGATGTTTATGTGTAGATATGGCCGTGTGGTTAATGAGGCTCAGAGAACCTGTTGATGTGATTGTTTTTCCTCTGGTTTTATATTAACCTTATTTCATTTAATAGTCTATTCAGGATCTTAACTTTATGTAGTAGTTATTTATTTACAGTGATGGTTAAAGCTTTGTAGTGGTAAGTTTTAGCATTCCTTGATCCATGTAGATATTCATAATAGATTAATGGTAGCACCTTCTTACACGAAGCTGAAGTCAGATTCTTATTCGCCAGCTTCTTGTTTGAATTTTCCTGATCCACTTTAAATGGTGCAGCTTCAGGCACCAGAAAGTAACTGCTGCACTATTTAAGGTGGAATGGGAAAACTCGACCAGAAGATGACGAATAAGAAGCCAACTTTAGCTTCGTCCTTCTTACTGTGTTTTGGGGGTTTATTTTATGTGTATAAAGATTAGAGGTGATTCACTCATTGGTGGATTTGCTGATGTGTCTGATTGTGTTTCTCGTGCTAAACTCTGTGTTTATCGTCAGGTGCAGACTGAATAGTTTCCTGCTGGTCCGGACGGCTAATTATCACGATCAGTTATTAAAGTAATAAAAGCTACCGAGAGCAGATCCGTGCAGCCTGGATTAATCTGTGTCTGAGGATTATAACTAAACAGATTTGGTGAAAATCGGTTGAGTAATAAGGAAGTTGTGGCTGATTTAATCCTGAGACTCATCGTCTCTCAATACAAGTGAATCTGTTCACAAGCGGATCTTGACCTCTCCAACATGGCGGATGCTCAGACGTATCGCCTCAGATAGAGAACAACAGACAACGTGGCATCTAGGGACGTATATCTACGTTGTGCCCAATAGACAGTGTGCTATTTTTAAGAAGGCTACGTTTACAATACAAGCCTCATTGCTTGATGGTTCACAGTTGTGTGAGTTAGTGATTCATATCCGTCATTAATGTGAACGAATCTGCACCCTGAAAATACGTGCAACTCCGTAACGCCACGTAAATGAACCACTTACGTCAACAACGTGCAATCTGACCATTTTCATTAAGGACGCATGGCCACAAATTGGATCTAGGACCACATGAAAGTGGCTCAGGTCTGATTCAAAAAGATCAGATTTGTCCACAGAAGCTCTGAAAATACAAGGTCTGTGTCACACTGAGGCAAAAAATTGGTAATGTGATCGTATCCTTATATTCATTCATTTCTGAGATTTAGACTCTAAAAAGTTAAGTGACCCTTATTAGTCCCACAACAGGAATATTTAACCTCCGCCTTTTAACCCATCCGTGCAGTGAAACACCACATACACACTAGTGAACACACACACTAGGGGGCAGTGAGCACACTTGCCCGAAGCGGTGGGCAGCCCAATCCACGGCGGCTGGGGAGCAGTTGGGGTTTAGGTGCCTTGCTCAAGGGCATTTCAGTCACGTACGGCGTGTCGGCTCAGGGGGTCGAACCAGCGACCTTCGGTCACAAGGCTGGTTCCCTAACCTAGGCATGGCCTTAATTTACCATAAAATTTCTACTGCAGAAAAACCTGCAAACTTTGAAAAGTCATTATTTTTTAACTGTTGGTTCTAGATGATCGAAACTTTGGTTGTGGGCAGGGGTGTTAAACGGGGTTCTTTCCAGGCCACAGCTCTGCAGAGGTTAGATCTTGTCCACAAAGTGCCTGTGAGTCCGCAGGTTTTCATTCCAGTCAAGCAGAAACACACTTGATTCCACGTGTTGGTCTCAGTCTTCTGCTTGGATGGAATGAAAGTTTGTAGCCACTGTGGATAAGATCAGTGACGCCTCTCTGTCAAGCCGAGTTCAACTCACGAAGGCCCTGCTAATTAGCTGATGAGATGACTCAGGTGTGTTTAATGAGGCAGAGTGCTGACGTCTGCAGTGCTTCGCACAGAAGGAACTCACTTTGAGACCCCTGTGTTTAAGGTGCGCTTAACTACCAAAACAGACTCTGCAAATATGCATGTTTTATCATTTCTCTATTTCTCTGAGAGTAATAAACGTTCTGGTTTATCAGACATTCTAAATGAATTTTGCTCAGGACTGACTGACAACATCGCAAATTAATGTATACATTAAAGAGCCCAATTCCATGAATAAATGTAGAGTATTAGATATCTTGAGCCAAACTATATAAAGTATCAAATACACCTTGTTTTACCAAAGACAGAAATGTAGGCTAGAGATACATCAGCCACTGTAGCAACACAAGGCTATGTTAGCGAAACATTTTAAAAAAAAATTAAGCCATAAAAAAAATGAAATAATGTTTTTAATAGTCAGTCGTTCCACATCTTTCTTAAAGTGAGGTATATTTGACACTTTAATAAATATAGCTGGGCTCGAGATACCCAGCAGCCAATTTTACTGTTTTACCTCAAAAGTAATATCCTGTAAAGGGACTATGACCGCCTATGACCCCCTACCCCAGGAAAGAGGGTCCCTCATGTTATTAATCAAAGAACAACACTGAAAATGTGTTTTAAAATGAAATTGAGGCATCAATTAATTCGTAAATTCATTTCAAATTTATGTTATGAAAAATAGTTGAATGTGCAAATGATCAGTGCCTGAACAGATTAGGTGTGAATTTAACTCTGCAAAGCTGTAAAACTCACCTGAAAACCCATCTCCAAGAAGATGGCTTAAAAGGTTAACTAATTATAGCTAAAGATCGCTGTAGTTAGCACCTTCAAATAATTACGTTATGATGAAAATCTAAGTTAGCAATATTTGGGTATGTATTCGTATGCTAATAAAAGGGTTTTTGGCCCTGTTTCTGAGGGGTTTCTTGCCCCAACGATGCAACTTGACATTTCACTTCAACCCAGCAACAAAAATTTGACTTGCCCCAACGAGATTCCAGCTCAATAAATTATTGCATAAAAATAAAAATTGCATCATTAAGAGTGTATGTGTGTACAACGATCAGGCATAACATTCTGACCACCTCCTTGTTTCCATGCTCATTGTCCATTTTATCAGCTCCACTTACTATATAGGTGCACTTTGTAGTTCTACAGTTACAGACTGTAGTCCATCTGTTTCTCTGATACTTTGTTAGCCCCCTTTTACCCTGTTCTTCAGTGGTCAGGACCCCCATGGACCCTCACAGAGCAGGTACTATTTGGGTGGTGGATCATTCTCAGCACTGCAGTAACACTGACGTGGTGGTGGTGTGTTAGTGTGTGTTGCGCTGGTACGAGTGGATCAGACACAGCAGTGCCGCTGGAGTTCTTAATCACTCTGTCCACTCGCTGTCCACTCTATTAGACACTCCTACCTTGTCAGTCCACCTAGTGGATGTAAAGTCAGAGACGATAGCTCATCTGCTGCTTCACAGTTTGTGTTGGTCATCCTCTAGTCCTTCATCAGTGGTCACAGGACGCTGCCCACAGGACAGGTTGGTGGTGGACTATTCTCAGTCCAGCAGCGACACTGAGGTGTTTAAAAACTCCAGCAGCACTGCTGTGTCTGATCCACTCAGACCAGCGCAACACACACTAACACACCACCACCACGTCAGGGTTACTGCAGTGCTGAGAATGATCCACCACCCAAATAGTACCTGCTCTGTGAGGGTCCATGGGGGTCCTGACCACTGAAGAACAGGGTAAAAGGGAGCTAACAAAGTATCAGAGAAACAGATGGACTACAGTCTGTAACTGTAGAACTACAAAGTGCACCTATATAGTAAGTGGAGCTGATAAAATGGACAATGAGTGCAGAAACAAGGAGGTGGTCATAATGTTATGCTTGATCAGTGTGTGTATATATATATATATATATATATATATATATATATATGGGCAAACTTGCTTCAGTTTATTAGAAAAGGCTATACAATAGTAAATTTGCCTCTCAGTTTTCTTAAACCAAAGACTAATTCCTGAAAATTGTTGAGTGCAGATGACTTTGCACCTTTTTTCTGTAGCAGACATTTTAAGGCCACGACTACTTTTTAAAGCTTTTTTTATGTCAGAAACTAAAGAAAACACATCCATTGGGCACAATTACGTTCTTTCTTAAAAGTGGGCAAAAAAAGCAAATCTGAGATGGTCAGTTTGGAGACCCTCAGGGATACGACGTATTTACATAATGTTGCTGCTGAGACAAAATCATTTTTGTATGTCTATTTTTGTCTGTTTTAAACAGATTGTGAAAATGTGCTGTATTCAAATTTCATGATAAGAGGATCGATAGAAATGGTCCAAAATTACTTGGAAAAATATGTTCTTCTATTAACGTCTGTTTGAAGGTTTTTTTTCCTTCTCCTAAAAAGTTGCTGTTTCAGAGACACAAGGTTTTGTCCCGACAGTGACGATATGCTGTTTTTAAAAGATTCTTATGCATATCTTATTCAGTAAAGGCCTTTTTGTGATTTCAGGGGCTAAGTCTATAATCGAGGAGTTTCCAGACATCACCATACTGACCACTGAGGTCCATTCTGTCGCCCCCACACACTTTGGACAGAAATACTTTGGAACAGACTGATTGTTCGGTTATGCCCCGCCCTCTTTGGGGGCTGAGATTTGACCAGAGGAATGATTTTGTGCAAAACAGTTTGAAGTGCCTTATTTAACTATTTAAAGTTTTGTCCTGCAGTGTTAAATAATAATGAGCATCACAGTAACGAAGCAGCTATTTCGTGTTCTCACTGCCCGGTTCCTCGTTGGCTTGGGAAGTGTCAGATGATAACCGGGTCACTGATTGTTAGTCTCGGATAGCCTCAGCACCAAACTGTTGTCAAGTGTACAGTCTAGAGCCGTTCCAGTCACACTGTCATAATGAAGCTGCACCTAATAGATTAGAACCATAGATATCCATACCTGGATGCTGCGTTGTCTGTTCTCTATCTGAGGCGATACGTCTGTACGTCCACCATGTTGGAGAGGTCAAGATCCGCTTGTGAACAGATTCACTTGTATTGAGAGACGATGAGTCTCAGGATTAAATCAGCCACAACTTCCTTATTACTCAACCGATTTTCACCACATTTGTTTAGTTATAATCCTCAGACACAGATTAATCCGGGCTGCTCGGATCTGCTCTCGGTGGCTTTTATTACTTTAATAACTGATCGTGATAATTATCCGTCCGGACCAGCAGGAAAGTATTCAGTCTGCACCTGATGATAAAAACTGAGTTTAGTGTGAGAAACACAATCAGACACATCAGCAAATCCACCAATGAGTGAATCACCTCTAATCTTAATACACAGAGGGACGGAGCTGAAGTTGGCTTCCTGTTCGCCAGCTTCTTGTTCGAGTTTTCCCGTTCCACCTTAAATGGTGCAGCAGTTACTTTCTGGTGCCGGAAGCTGTACCATTTAAGGTGGAACAGGAAAATTCAAACAAGCTACTGGCTGATGCACTGTTTAAGGTGGAACGGGAAAATTTGAACAAGAAGCTGGCAAATAAGAATCTAACTTCAGCTTCATGTAAGAAGGTGCTAACGTTAATCTATTATGAATATCTACACAGATTAAGGAATGCTAGAACTTAACACTACAAAGCTTTAACCATCACTGTAAATAAATAACTACTACATGAGGTTAAGTTCCTCTGAATAGAATATTAAATGAAATAAGCTTAATATAAAACAATCACATCAACAGGTTCTCTGTGCCTCATTAACCACACGACCATATCTACATAAACATCACACAGACATGAGTGTGGATCACTGCGTTCCCTCCGTTATATAATCCTATCCCACTTTCTGAGTGTGATATTCCTGAAATAGTGTAATTTTGGACAGTATCTTTCTTAAACTGCCGCTCTGTAATGGTACTGAATGCAGTCCAGCAGCGAAGTTGACGTGCTTGGCTGGACCCATCGCGGTATCTAGGTATGTATATCTATGATTAGAACTACCAACTACTAGCAGTGTGAGAACAAGCAGCGTATGGCATCTGTGACTGAAAGTCACATGAGTTTCGTGACCAATCAGAACCTCATCAAGAAAACTTGCAAATGCATGATTAAGCACTGGTGACTCCAACTCACAAAGGGTTCCCCACTCAGTCTGGGTCCAGTGAGATTTACTGAATAAAGAAACTGAAAATGTCTGTTTCTTTGTGCTCATTTCATAGACGTGTCACTCATGAAATTTCTGAATGTGGAGTAGGGGGGGACTTTTTACTCACTGCCGTATATCCCAAACGTGTTATACATTATAATAGGATAACCCAACCAGCAGCAAATTAAAGCTGAACATCTTAGCTAAAAATAGACACTTAGGCCCAGTCCCATTTCACCCCTCGCCCTTAGCACTTAGCCCTACCCCTCTATGTTCCGCATTCACATCTAGGGGTAGGGTGTCCCGATTCTTGTTGAGATAGAGGGGGAGGGTGTAGTGTTGGGGCTACATGACCCTCCAAACGGAGGTTTTTCAGAGACTCCAAACAGAGAGTTATGAGAAAAAAAGAAAAACTGTCGATTTCTGTGCAAGAGACCAAAGAAACTCACAAATATGAGAATTTTCTCTGTTAAAATGACAAAAACATTGTATTATCTTGGTTTAATGTAGTTTCAATGTATTATGGTCGTTTTCTTCATAATGAGCATTAAAAATCTCTAATAGCATGCTAATGTCTCGGTAGCTAGCTAACTAAATTTCCCATACCACCTTAAATAGTCCAGCAGTACTTACATCTGAAGCGCCAGAATGTAACTGCTGCTCCATTCATATCACTGAAGAATTAGGGGTGGGTGATAATAAATAATTGCCCCCCTCTTTGACGATCATATGATTCCCTAAATGTAACTAAAGCCCAGCAGTGAGGAGCTGAACTTTACCCTCCTCTGCTGTCACTGCAGACTGGCAGGGTCGCCTACAGAGCAGCGCTGGTAGCTGTTAATGAAGTGATGCTCTTTTTATTTTGGATGGTTAAACATGCATCAGGCCAATTTGACCCAGGAACATTACTGCTGTTCTTTACAGTTGAACATAAGAGGAGACTTGAATGCTAAGAATGTTTATTTTATCATTGGCTTCTATTGATGAAGGATAAAAAGAACAATAAGATGAAAAATAAAACTGGGCCACTCCACCTATTTATTTCTTTATTTATTGTTCTTTGTCAGATCAAAACCTCGTATCTCCAAAATGGTAACTTTGCAGGAGAAGGAAAAACCTACTTTACTTCTAATGTAAGTCAATGGAACCAGACTTATTTCCAAGTCATTTTGGGACGTTTCTTTTGGTCCATTCATCATGAAATTTACATACAGTTTAAAGGACAACAAGCACTTGCAAATTATGTCAAGAACTGAAAAACGACAAAAATGGAGATACAAGGTTTTGTTCCGACAGCAGCGATTAAGAGCTGTTGCTGAAATGGATGAATGACCTAGAAATCAACTCCACTCTCCTCTGGGTCGAATCTCCTTGTTTAAGAACCACACAGAACAAATTTATTTCAAAAGGTGGATTTTATTAATTGTCATTTTTTTAATCATATGTTAACGTTCATCATATGCAGTGATCTGATTTTTACTTTTCTTAAACAATGCATAATTTGTACCATTCGAAAATATATTTATAAGCGAGGAATAAATGTGTTTGTAGTGGTTATGCACATGAACGCGACTGAAAACAGGAGAAATACGTGTAACAGCATCAGCAACAGGACTGTTCAGGAAGGACCACATGGCACACATACAGGCAAACATACAGGCATCTGACACGGAGTGAACGAAAGAATAACGTTTACACGATAACAAGCGAACAAAAGGCTTAAAAAAAAAAGAACATGATGCTGATATGAAATACAGTCGGCTTTATCCATGACTTAATCCCATTCTGCCTGAACAGAACCAAGTAAATGAACAGTAGCTCTCCTCTCTGAACTGGAATTACAGTGCAAGATAAGCTCTTTATTCAGAGGAACAAAGGCCAGTTTCAGGGAACACAGAGTATCTAGTTCTGTATTTGACAAATCCTACAGCACAGCCGCTGTTTCTTGTGCAGTTTCCTTTCATCACCTGATCCAACTCATGAAAGACTTGGCGAAGTGTCGATCAGTCGAATCAGGCGTATTTAAGCGCAATGCGGGAAGAACACTGAACTAGAACACTGAACTTTACTGCAAAAACACTGGTTCTAGATCATTACATACCATATTTTTCTAGTAAAGCAAGGGTCTCCAATCTTATCCACAAAGGGCTGGTGAGGTTGTAGGTTGTCTTTCCACACAGAAGCACCTGATTCCACCTGTTTCATCTTTTGGTCTCCGTCTTCAAACAGTCCATTAGCTAGAACTGCTGCGTAACACGGACCTAAGCGCGCCATAAGCATGTCACACGCCAGTTATGAGTGATTGTGTTCATTAATGTAGCAGTGCTGTGTGTCAATGTCTAATGTCATGACATTTTAACTACAGTTCACAACAAAACTGAGCGTGTGACATAAGCTGTCATGACCATGGAAGTCCAGAGAGGCTGCTATGATTTTCTGGAGTTATCTTGAGATAACAAGATAAATCACTTGTTATCTCAAGATCACTTTTTTTAATCTCAAATTAACAACTTTGTTTAGACAATTTTGTGATCTTGAAATAACAAGATAAATAACTCGTCATTTCAAGACCACAATTGCGTTATTTTGAGATCACAGGATAATTAACTCATCTACAGATAACAACTTTTGTTATCTTGAGATAACAAGATAAGTAACTCGTTATCTCAAGATAATTTGTTATCTTGAAATAACGAGTTACTTATTATTTATCAGGATAACAAAAGTTATCAAACGATAACAGCTTTGTTATCATGGTATAGCTACCATGAGGTAGCTATAAATTTCAGGATTTTTATTTTGAGAAAACAAGTTAATTATCTTGTTATCTCAATGTAACAACTTTGTTATTTTGAGATCACAATATAATAAACTCATTAAGATAATTTTGTTATCTTGAGATAAGTAACTCGTTATTCAGGATCACCATTTTGTTATTTTGAAATAAGATAAATAACTCGTTACTTCAAGATAACTATTTTGTTAGAATAAGATAAGATGCATAACTTATTTCGAAATAAAATTCCAGAAAATTATAGCTGCCTCATGGCCTCTCTAGACCTCCGTAGTTATGACATCAAAAGTTATAGCATCTGTCACGACTATTACCAGCAAGAGCTACAACTGTAATATCACTGAACAAAATCTGTTATGACAGTTTATAACTGCATCTGCCGTGGCTTTTACAGCTGGGTTGTGTTAATGTCATGTAGCAATAATGAAGCAATGTGCGGCCCCTTGCGGATAAGACTGGTGACCCTGTCGTAAAGTGTCCGTGTGGTAGATGGCAACAAGGCATGATACATTTATTCGTGAATCACCGTTAATAAACATCATGATAAATTAAAAAATAATAATAATGAATCTCGATAGTTAGCCCCCCCCCCACCCCACCCCACCAGGGTAACAAATGACAACACCTTAAATGTTCCATTTGCACTTCTAGACATACACATAACGAAAATACTTACATTACGTCATAATAAAAGGACAATATCAATTTTAACATTCACTAAAAAAGGTGTACACGTTTAGGCTGCACCACAGTGATTCTACAGAAAAGCAGTCGGAGTCTTTGATACATCTTTAAGGCCTGGAGAGACGCCATGCTCTGCTGTACTCGTGTGCAGTGGATAAATGGACAGCTTTCATCTGAGCTTCTCAAGACCGGACGGGAAGTGCATAAGAGAGGAAGTGGCTGACCTCGAAATGGGCACAACTACCTGTTCTGTTGTTCCAGGTGGACCCTATGTACACGCTGTGACGCCGCCTGCCACCGGCGGAAGCTGAATGCTGAAATGTGAAAGAATTTGAGATACAAGCTCATCCAAGTCATGATTACCTTGTGAGAAGAACACAAACCACGTCCAAGCCCACAGGAACAGTCAGTGACAGTCCTTGGCGTTTCTCGAAAGGATTCACACGGATGGAAAACATCAATGGGGTGATAACAAAAAAAACAGGGTAAATAAGTTTAAATAAAAATCCACTCAGTGGTCCCTCCAGATATTTGGCGCTCCATGGACATACTTTTCCGTGAGTCTCCCAGTATTTGGAATGCAGTTGCCTCATCCGAGTGTTTGGTGCTTCAAATGATTCAAGTTCATGCCTAAAGCAACTGAAAGTGCTCTTCTGGTCAATATAAAACAAAACAAACAAAACAAAAATAAATGTCACAACAGATATTTTGTCTGTTTTTCTTTTGTAAAGCATCAAGCTAGAAAAGTCTGTACTTACAAAGAAATGTAGCTCATCCATTAATTATGATTCTACATCAATGGTGACTGAAGGGTCATGTTCCATTTCACCATCTGAAAAGAAAGCGATTGGCAAGAAAAAAGATTTCTACTAATTAAAGGAATATATAACCATGATAAGCATTGATAACTCACATGAACAGCAAGCTACGTGACCTGATTAATGATTACAGGCTTTCTGAGAGCGCTATGATTAAGCCTCTGTAAACACAGCAGTAATTGGGCAAGAAATATCATCTTTTCTTCAACTCAATGCAAGTGTTTTTACGATGACATTAAACCACTCCAGACCATTAGTGCAAAACTAAACAGATTACAGTCAATAATCTGCACAGCATCAAGCCACACAATGACTGTTTGTTAATCTTTGATCTTGACATTTCTTAGAAGAGAGACGTGCACTACAGCTAGGCAGGCTTCCAGATGCAACCTCTTATCGATTACATCTCGATCGTCTCTAATTGAGCCGCCTTTTAATTTAGGCTGAACGAGGCACAGGCTGCCCTCGCTGTGCTACTATCATGTCTCGCTTACCTGTGCTGTCTTCATCTGATCCACCATCCTCCCCCCATCTCCCCTCACTGGCCAATAAAGGGTTCCGAGATTCGCACAGGGTCCTCAGGGGAAAATAGTGGCCATCGCCTTGACTAGGGAACGCAAGCAGATAATATTTGCAATATTAGTTGCACACGTCATCTGGGGCACAATGTTATGTGAGTGTTGATGGACAAAGCAGAAAACCATTTATGTAATCATTATGAAGCCAATTAGGACAAAATGCATCTGTGCAAGCTGAAACATCCAATGTGCCTCAAATATACACTTCATGCCCAAAAATTTGTAGACACCTGTTTATCTAACATGTATTCTGAAATGGGGCAGTTGTGGGCTGGAGGTTAGGGAACCAGCCTTGTGACTGGAAGGTCGCTGGTTCGATCCCCTGAGCCGACAGTACCTTGGATCTTGAGCAAAGCACCTAACCCCCAGCTGCTCCCCGGGTGCCGTGGATAGGGCTGCCCACCGCTCCAGGCAAGTGTGCTCACTGCCCCCTAGTGTGTATTCACTAGTGTGTATGTGGTGTTTCACTGCACGGATGGGTTCAAATGCGGAGGTGAAATTTCCCCGTTGTGGGACTAATAAGGGTCACTTAACTTAAATCAAGGGAATTAATAGGGAGCTTGTCCCCCATTGATGCAATAATAGCCACCTTTGTTCTGGGAAGGCTCTGCAGTAGATATTGGAACGTTGCTGATCGCATTCAGCCACAAGAGCATTAGTGAGGTCAGGTACTGATTTTGGATGATTAGTTCTGGATCACAAATGCCACTTCAACTCATCGCTCCAGCTCCATCACTCCAAAGAACAATGTTCCACAGTGCCTTAGGCCAGGGGTCGGCAACAAGCGGCTGTTTTACTGCCCTGTTGTGGCTCCACAGCAGAATCAGATTTGTAGGTAAAAATAAAATAATCCTCCTTTACAGTAAAATAAAGCTCTGCTGATCGTTCAACACAGTTTAACAGTAAATGGTCTTAAACTCTGGAGTTAATGTAGAACTGCTAATTCACCCTTTAACCCTGAAGATCAGCACAGACTGCTGGTCACCATAGCAACACAGACAACAGTCTCGTCTAGCTAGTAGCTAACGAAACGGCAAAGAAGATTTAAGATGAATGGACTTATTTGCATTTATAATCACTCCAGCTGGTTTCCTGATACGTTTAATCTGCAATGAGAAACTGACGAACACTGAAAAGTTGCAAAGCTGAAGTCAGTTTCTTGTTCGAATTTTCCCGTTCCACCTTAAATAGTGCAGCAGTTACATTCTGGTGCCATTTAAGGTGGAACAGGAACATTCGAACAAGAAGCTGGTGAATGAGAAGCGACTTTAGCCTCATAAAAGGTCAAATGTTGAGAGACATTTTATAAGAAACCGTTCTACTTTTGCAGAAAAATTTCCTGCCAGAGATGTGAGAAAAGCAGCTATAGCTGAGCTTAAGCTTAAAGCAAAGCAAAGTAAGTCTGCGTTATCATTAATGTTATATTTTTAGCCTATACTAGTACTTTAACACACACTGAGCCATACTTATATCCAAGATGGTGAAATAGACATGAAACGTGGCTCTCAAGGTGGTTTGATTTTTCTAGAAAGGACAAAATTGGGTTTTTTTGGTTGCGACCCCTGTGCAGCTGCTTTATAGCATCCCATTCCATTGGTAATGCCCTTTGATGGAGACTATACATGCTGTGTACATTTAAAGGGGTATGACTGATGAATGAATGATGAATATGACTGCTGTAACACTGATGTTTACTCACCTGGTGAACACTGGGAAAAGCCAGAGCTTTTTGTTTTCTCCAAAAACCTGTGTAAGGTTTTTGCGGAAGCCAACATTAAAGCCATTCCGGTCAGGACCATTCTGGAACACCGGCGCAGAGAAAGCCTCTGAAAAATCGTGAAAAGGGCATGACAATGAAGGACTGACTCAAGGACTCAAAACTGTGTTTGATCATATTTCATTTCAATTAGGAATCATAAAAACAGTTTAGGTTCTTTTAATGTTTTCTGCACATTCAGTGCACATCATACCACTGTCAAAGCAATGAGCACAACCTTCTGTCACAGAGGTAATCAGTTCTGGTCCAGGGGCCAGTGTCCAGCACAGTTTGGTGATTTTAAAGCATCTGGTACAGCTCAGCACTTACTTACCAGCACCAAACTGTCCTGAACTCCAGCCCTTCAGGGCCAGAACTGATTACTCCTCCTCCATCAATCACATCGACTAGTTGGAACAGTATCTAGGACAGTGGAGAGGAAATGTACAATGTGTCTTACCCAACGTGGACCTGTTCTTAGCCACCAGCCAGCAGTGGTAGCCAAAAAGAAACATGAGGCTGACAAAGAACATGAGAGCCACAAACAGCAGGAACAAGACATGGAACTTAGCGTGGTCGTTTGGAAGCTCGCCCTGAAAGAAAATGGAAAAAAACGTTACTGAGAATTTGAGAACTGAGAGATGTTGAAAGAACATTCATTCCCTCTATTGTTGAAAATGAGCATATTACCATTTTAATTAGCACTTTGCCAAAAACTGGTTACATATCTGTAATTACAAATGGAAACTAGATGAAAAGCATCAAGAGAAACGACTCATTATAATGAAACTCACCACCCAGAACTTGAGAAAATACTGAAATACAGTTGCTGCGATGAAGACGCAGTACAGCATGGAGTAAGACAGAAAGAGCAGGAAGAATTTGTAGTTTGAGAATCCGACACAGTTGTTCACCCTGAAAGAGAGAGCAAAAATATATATATATATATATATATATATATATATATATATATATATATATATATATATATATATATATATATATAAATAAAACAACCTTTGCTCATTAAGCACTTGTGTGACAACTTTGAGAGCAACTAATTACATAAACAATAAATAAATAAACAATATCCGCTCACCATGGACAGTGATGATCCATTTTCAGCACGCACCTACAAAATAAATGCACAGAGGTAATTAAATTGAACAAAATCAAGATATCTTCTCTGATAAGGTCAAGTTCCTGCCCGACAACACCTTCTAATTATTACACGAGTCTCGCGTACGGCGATCCTCTTTCCAGAGCAACTGAGAACGAAAAGCATGAGAGAGACAGGGCAAATGGGGGAAGGTGGGGGGGCAAGAAACTTACGTTTCACAGACTGAACAGTGGTGACAGCGGTCAGGCTTTATCAGTTGACAGCGATCGCAGAACCTGATAGCTAGACACACATACAGGAGAGTCATCTGGCAGCATTTGAATTCAGTGCCACACTTTAGCCTCCATTTACTGTCTTTCACTGCAGCAATGCCACTAGAAAGGCAAGGCAATTAGACCCCTACATGTAATTAGACACATACTGGCTGTTTAATTGAGAAAAGTTCAGTAAGAGAACCTATACATAACCAAAAAAGCACAATTACAACAAACACCACATAATTCTGTCTGATCTAGCATTCTAGCATGAAATCAAGCACCTATTTCTATAAATAAAACCAAAGTCTGCGAGATTATTCACCTCCTGACTGAGCCCGTGTGAAGATGGGGAGCTTCTTTGCTATGTCAATCAGGATTTGCTTCTGCACATCTGGCCTCTCCTCCATCTCATATCTCTCTTTGTCACTAAAGGAGAGGTGGAACTGTAGCAAAAGAAGAAGATAAAGGATGACAGATCTTCAAATAAGATCTCACAGATCTTCAAGATCAGATATGGCAAACCAAACACATCCAGTCTCCATGACACCAACCTTTTTGCACGGCGTTGAGGGTGGAGTGAATATGGCCTTCCAGTAGGTCCAGCAGAACATCACAAAGCACACATGGAACACCAGCAGGTAGGTCACTGCAGAGGAAACCATATCAGATGTTATCATCAAGCGAACGACGAGGCGGATGGGGTGATAACGATCAGCCGAGAGGAACTGACCTGATTTAAAACATCACACATGACTGCAGTATGGTATCAGAACATCAAAGATGAGGCTGACATGCGCTGAAAGAGTGAATTTGGGAGGATTTACCCTCCAATAAATAAACAGCGACGAAGACTTACCTTTCTCCAATGTGTTGTGGAGAGTAACTGCAAGAAAAACGAAAAATGAAAAGTCACTAAAGCTCGTCGACTCATCAGATAACGCTTTACGCAATTTGGCAACATGAGAAGCAGAAAAAATGTTTTTTTTTGATAGAAACTGAGCATTTTCAGCCACATCAGCTCCATTAATCTGAATTATTATAAAGCGTATACAGTCTCAGCTGAGGCGACCCGGTCTAGTCTCGTTAGCTGAGGTGCTCCGTAATTCAACCACAACACACAGTAAACGCGGACAGTATGTCATTATATCATATTTAATCTGCTTATCCCTTTTTATCATTTTAAATGACAGTAAGCTGGCTAAGAAAACCACAACATGGACATCAGAAATCGCTTCATTTTAGCAGTTTCAGTATTAGCATCCCGCGGAACGATTAGCATGCGAGCTAACGCGAGCTTCCTCGGTTTCTCGGTGAACGATACTCACAAAAACAAAGTTCAAACACATAGGCGTAGTACGACCACAGCACTACGGACGAGATAATGACGACGGGGATCCAAGAAAATATCCTCTGACAGCATCTCAGCCCCCTCGAAATGGCCATTTTCAACCCCGTCCCCGAATCATGTTCTCCGGCAGCCACTAACAGCCCTCGTCCGGAAAAACCCGAAGCGGATCTGCGCTTGATTTACGGAACTGCGGTCAGGAGGAGAAACAGCGGCGTCACGTCGTTTTAAAAATAAATAACTCGAACAGAAACAAACACAGATATCTAGAATTGACGGACGAAGACGAGTGTTTTATTCAGTGCTTTATTAAGTTGTAGTCAGTTTCCTATCCGCCAGCCTCTTGTTCGAATATTCCCGTTCCACCTTAAACCGCGCAGCAGTTACATTCTGGCTTAAGGTGGAACGGGAAAATTCGAACAAGAGGCTGGCGGATAAGACACTGACTTCAGCTTCGTGTGAATTGTTGGTGCTGAAGTTACATAGTAATAGGCTTTTATATTTCTAGGATCCTGGATTTCAGCGCGATATGTGATTCTTTGTTCTTCATCCACTGCATTTGCAGACCGCTCAAAGGTGCTTTACACAATTTAACCAGTAGGTGTCACTACAACACTGCTGTTGATCTGAAGCCATTCAGGCCTCGTAATTGAAAACTACTATTATTGCAATTAGGCACTGGAAGCGCTTCAGCCTCACTTCAGTATGTGTAAATACCTTTGACAACAAGTTTTTATTAATTTATGCCCTTATTTTTAAACGTTTAAACTTTATTTTGTCTTCTTTTTTTTAAATAAAGGTTTATTTATTTTCCAGTGATTGACATTTTGGACTGGTCAAGTTAAAGATAGATAAAATAAACCTATGATTTAGCTTAGGAGATTCAGTCTTCATCTATCCTCTTCCCTCTTCTCTCTATCTATGTATCTATCTGCACATATGGACGCCTTACTGTACATACTGCACTTCTGCACACCTTATCGCACATCTGGACACTCCACACCTGGAAACTTTATTTCAGTACCAATATCTGCACATATTTATTCAGTATTGTCATTATTCAGTATTGTCATTATCTATCTATCTATCTATCTATCTATCTATCTACTTTTAATAGAGTTTTATTCCTTTTCCAGTGATTGATATTTTGGACTGGTCAAGTTAAAGGGGAACTCCAACAGTTTTTTGAAAGTTCCTCATAATTAAATAGTTAAAATGTAAACAAAGTCAGAATTGTTCACAGTGGTGGTGATAGGAACCAAATGTCCACCTCTAAAAGCTCCCTCACAGAAAGTTATTACACAAAATAGTTATGATTACGCTGCCTGATGCCTGAGACGCTGTTTTACGATAGTAGTGTGAAAAAGGTTTGGCCTAAAAAATGTCTTGCTAAACCATTTATTTTAATCCATTTCATCCAGTCCATCCATTCAGGGTGTTGTAAGGCAAAACAGACCCCAAAGAAAACATGTTTTGTCAGATTTTCCACTTTTTAACCATTATCGACATTACATTTATGTAGTGGCCTTGGACAGTAAATAAAACGGCTATATTTGTGTTCTAGGCATGACGACCCCTGGTTACTATCACCACCACTGCAAAGAAATCAGAGTCTGTAACTTTACAATGGACAATTTCACATCAAAGTCTGAATGGCTTTGTTTACATTGCAACAGAATTATGCCAAAAGTTGGTGGAATTCCCCTTTAAGCTAACAAACAGTGAGTCACTCATTGCTTACACTCATTCTTACAAGGTAAACTGTGTAACACTGTTATTTTATAATAAACAAAGCAACTGTGTTCAAAGGCCGTCCTATAAGGTTATACTGGATACTGTTTGTAAACTGTATAAGTATTAGTAAACTGCAGAGTGTATATAATTATTTTAATTAAATAGCTTTTGCATACATCCTTTGTATACATCCTGCCTTCCGCCCAGTGACCACTTGGATAGGCTCCAGCTCCCCCTGCGACCCAGAAGGATAAGCGGCTTAGATAATGTGTGTGTGTGTGTTTATTTGTATACAGTTATTTTCAGAAAAACTGTTATAACAGTTTAAATTGTTTATAACTGGTCCTCAGAGCCACCAGACGCTCCACATTTTTGCTCAATTCCAACAGCCAACACCTAGAGAAAATAACCTGGACTGTCTGGGGGCGCTGAGGACCACTGCCATAAACATCCACAGAGGTCACAAAATGTGGCCAAATCAGGACAAGTAGCTGAGTTTGGGTCAAGGTTTACAGCAATATATGAAACCCAAAGCTGATTATGTGTAAATACTGGAATTTTGCCCAGTTATCGAGACTAAAAGAGGTGTTTAAGGAAATATGGTCTGTGAGGATGGTAAGTGTCGCTCTCTCTGGCTCTGCCCTGATTTGTGGACCCTGCGTTTGTATAAAATAACTGTATACAGAGTGTAATTGGTTAATTAAAAATAGTCCAACTGTATAAAACTATTAACACACTGTTATAACAGTTTTTCTATGAAAATAACTTTATACAAAGAGTACTTTTGATATGCTATTGTTATTTTACACAATTACTGTATACACACTGTAACGTACAAACAATATAACTTTAACACTACTGAGTTACTTTTTGTTATAGAATAACAAAACTCTTTGATAGCTTAAATTACAAAAAACAGTAACAAAATAAAGAGTAAAAAGCGAAAAACAAGCACAGAAAAATAAACATAAATAAACAGAGATGTCATGCTACAGGAGAGCCATGTCCATTATATCAGGTCCCATTACCATTTAAATGCACAGTTACAGACTGTAGTCCATCTGTTTCTCTGCATACTTTGTTACCCTGTTCTTCAGTGGTCAGGACCCCCATGGACCCTCACAGAGCAGGTACTATTTGGGTGGTGGATCATTCTCAGCACTGCAGTAACACTGACGTGGCGTGTGTTAGTGGTGTGTTAGTGTGTGTTGTGCTGGTACGAGTGGATCAGACACAGCAGTGCTGCTGGAGTTTTTAAACACTGTGTCCACTCACTGTCCACTCTATTAGACACTCCTACCTTGTCAGTCCACCTTGTAGATGTAAAGTCAGAGACGATAGCTCATCTGCTGCTGCACAGTTTGTGTTGGTCATCCTCTAGTCCTTCATCAGTGGTCACAGGACGCTGCCCACAGGATGCTGTTGGCTGGATATTTTTGGTTGGTGGACTATTCTCAGTCCAGCAGCGACACTGAGGTGTTTAAAAACTCCAGCAGCACTGCTGTGTCTGATCCACTCAGACTAGCGCAACACACACTAACACACCACCACCACGTCAATGTTACTGCGGTGCTGAGAATGATCCACCACCCAAACAGTACCTGCTCTGTGAGGGTCCATTATTCTTTAATTATTGTAACTACTATGAATTATTCAGTAACTACAACAGAACTAATGTGCAAGTGAGCAAGGAATTGTGGACTCACATATGAACCCTAAAGTTTTAAGGTGTTAAAAATTTGGAATCACTTGTTATTATAAACAATATTATATATAAACTTGACACCCAAAGGTATGTGTGGATGCTTTATGTAATATTTCAGTTTTTTGGAACAATAAAAAGGTATTCAATGAGAAGTGACAGTTAGTATTGTAATTATCTGTTTGTAGTCATTCTTACTTACATTATCAAGATTCGGCCACCACCTTTAAAATATGAAGTGTTCTAGATGAATTCTATTATTTTTCACTTATATTGAATTATTTTGTTATTACTGAATGTGCAGCTCTCTTCTTCTTTGTGGACACATGTGAAACTTCCTTACACATCAAATGATCTGAACCTCATTAAGTTGTAGAGTAGTAGCTTCATATTAGGATCATTTCTGCAGCAAAGCTGGTTTGATAATAAAAAACACTGTAATTCTAAACTTTTGATTGGTTATTTAAGATGCCCGATGGTGGTGGTCTGCACATTACCACACTGGTTCCCCATAGCGCCTGGGGGGGGGGCTTGGGTGTGCAGCATCCTGCAGCACAGTGGAGGAAGGAGGGGTCGTCCATCAGCGCATCAGCTGTCGCACCGCTACTACAAAGTGCTTGCTACTATCATAATAGTAACCGGGCCTTAATCAAAACATTTACCCAGGAAAGCGTAACACAAACAGCTCGCGAGGACAAGCCCGGGCAGATCACACAGACAGCAGAGAAGGAGAGAGGGAGAGGGGGGGGAGAGAGAGAGAGAGAGAGAGAGAGAGAGAGAGAGAGAGAGAGAGAGAGAGAGAGAGAGGAGAAGTCATGCGTTTGGGTGGAGAAAGGGTGAGAGGGCTGGGGGGCTGACAGAGCACCTTGGAGAGGAGAGAGTGTTACCTGCTGAGAAGTGCACTAGAGACACAGCCATTTCAGCACAGCTGTTAGTTTCCTTTCACAGGTGCTGCTGTCAGTGTTCTGCTGCTAATGCACCTCTTATGGAGCACTTGAGTAGAGCATAAAGAGCACATAGAGAATATAGACTACATTCGTTTCTGTCATTTCTCATTTTGAGTGGAGGAGTGCTGCATTATTAGATCATACTGTGTGTGTGTGTGTGAAGTGTGGGTGTACATGTGTGTGTGTGTGCATATGAGAGAGAGAGACAGAATGTAAGAGAAACAGAAAGAGACTGTGAGAGCAAGAGACTGACAGAGACCAGAAAGGGGAGAAAGAGACTGATGGAGAGAGTGAGACAAAGAGACTGAGAGAGACTGTCAGAGAGACTGATAAAGAGACAGAGACTGAGAGAGGCTGATAAAGAGACTGACAGAGAGTGAAACAAGGAGACTGGGAGAGATTAAGAGAAAAAGACTGAGAGAGAGACGGAGACTGAGAGAGACTGATAAAAAGACAGAGACTGAGAGAGACTGACAGAGAGAGAAAAAGAGACTGAGAGAGAGAAACTGAGACTGAGAGAGAGAAACCGAGACTGAGAGAGAGAAACCGAGACTGAGAGAAACTGACAGAGAGAGAAAAAGAGACTGAGAGAGAGAAACTGAGACTGAGAGAGACTGACAGAGAGAGAAAAAGAGACTGAGAGAGAGAAACCGAGACTGAGAGAGACTGACAGAGAGAGAAAAAGAGACTGAGAGAGAGAAACCGAGACTGAGAGAGACTGACAGAGAGAGAGAAACCGAGACAGAGAGAGGCTGACAGAGAGAGAGAAACCGAGACTGAGAGAGACTGACAGAGAGAGAGAAACCGAGACTGAGAGAGACTGACAGAGAGAGAGACCGAGACTGAGAGAGACTGACAGAGAGAGAGACCGAGACTGAGAGAGACTGACAGAGAGAGAGGGTTTAATGATAGAGAAATTTCCCTACCTTTCGTGCCGTGTGAGTGTGTGAATTAGTGCGCCTGCATATGAATGA